TAAGACTTCTAAATTTAAAACCAAATTCAGTACCATAGCTAGATACAAAGTCAACACTCAAAAATCTTCCTGCATGCAACAACTAAGAAAGAAATTAGAAAACATCTTTCACAATAGCATCCCCAAAAATGAAATATCTAGAAATCAATCTAACAAAGGAAGTAAAAAACCTATACATCACAAACTGTAGTAGTACTCTGTGAAAAAGGTGATCGAAGAGGGTATCAGAAAATGGAAATATATCCCCTGCTCTTGGGTGTCAAGAACCAGTAAGTGAAAATGGTCATAGTCTCAAAATTATTATACAGATTTAATGCAATTCTGATCAAAATTCCAACAGTATATCTCACCAAATTAGAAAAAATAACCCTAAAATTCATCTGGAACCAGAATCTCGTAGAATAGCAAAGGCAATTCTGGCCAACAAAGGCAAGAGGAGGGGGCAACATAATTCCAGACTGGAAATTATACTCCAAAGCTACTGCAATTAAAAAAAAAAAAAAAGCAGCACTGAGAACCAATGGAACAGACTAGAAGATGCAGGAACAATTCCAGACATACATAGCCACCTTATCTTTGACAAAGATACCAAACAGATGCACTGGGAAAAAGCCTTTTTAATAAATGGTGCTGGAAAAGCTGGTTTTGAACAGTACAAAGACTAAAATTAGACCCATATCTTTCACTATGCACTAAAGTAAAATTGAAATGGACCAAATAGCTAAATACTGAAACAAAAACATATCTGCTGGAAAACAGAATGGGTAAAAACTTTTAAAAAGACTCTGGTGAAGACAAAGAATTCATGAATAAAACCCCAATTGCACAGAAATCATCACAAAGGATCAACAACTGGTATCTCATTTTATTAAAAAGCTTTTGCACAGCAAGAGAAACCACCAACTGATTGAAGAAACAACCCAGAGACTGGGGGGAAAAAAACTGGTAGCTGTTCCTCACACAAAGGGTTACAATAAAGAACATACAAAGACCTCAAAGAAATCAGATCCCTCAAATTTAAAGATCCAATCCAAAAATAGGTTTCTGAAACAAATTACACATTTCTCAGATGAAGAAGTACAAACAACAAATGAACATCCCTTGTCATTACAGAGATGCAAATTAAGACAATGCTGAGATTCCATCTCACTCCAGAAACAATATTAACAAGAAATCAGTCAACAACAAATGCTGGCGGGGCTGTGAGGGAAAAAAAGAGCCCTTCTCCACTGTTGATAGGAATGTGCTGGTACAACCACTGTGGATATCACTGTGAAGATTCCTCAAAAAACAAAAAATACAAGTTCCGTTTAACCCAGCTATTCCCTTCTTGGTGTCTTCCTGAAAGAATTAATAGCATTATACCACTGCGATACATGCACACCCATGTTTATAGCAGGACAGTTTGGAAATAGCTAAATCTTGGAAACAGCCCAAATGCCTATCAACTGGTAAATGGATAAAGAAGATGTAGGCTTTTTGATACAATGGAGTACTAGTCTGCAATAAAAAGGATACACTCAAAACATTTCTAGGTAAATGGATGCACCTTGAGAACATACTCTTAATTCAAATAAATTGGACACACATTTGTATATACTCTATTGTTTCTCTGGTGTGAGAAACTATATCTGTAAATAAGGACCAAAATGCGTAATACGTATTGTGAAATAGGAAGAAAATGTTCAAATGGGGAGGGGAACAAAGGAATGGGGAGAGGGATAGAAAGAAGAAAAAAGTAAAAACTAAGAAAAAGATGAAAAAACGGAGACAAAACTTTTGTAAATGGGGAAGAGAAGAGATGTTGGACAGTAGGGGAATGGCTAAAAAAAGTTTTATCATGTACAGGTACAAATTCTCTATGATGACTGTGATCATTATGTATATCTAAAATGTACCAATAAAATCTGGTTGAAGAAAAAAAGTTGGACAAGATAGTATATGCCTATAATCCCAGTACTCAGGAATCTGTGGATCATTGTGAGGTCAAGGCCAGCCTGGGCTCCACAGTGAACTCAAGGTCAGCTTGAACTACACAACAAGACTCTGTCTCACAAGAAGAAAAAAAAAAAGAGAGAGAATTTAAAGTTACAATCATTGCAATAGATACAGAAAATCCTTTAACAAAGTCAAACACTCATTAAAAAATAGAAAAAGGACAAAAAGTGGTATAAAAAAAAACCTTACCTTAAAACGATGAAAGCTAAACAAAACCTACTGCCAACATCACACTAACCAAGTTAAAACTGAAAGCATTGCCACTAACATCAGGAACAAGAAAAGAATGCCAATCATCATCACTACTGTTCAGTATAGTATCTGAATGTATAGCCAAAGCAATTAGGCAACAGAAGGAAATAAAAAGGATTCAGACAGGAAAGAAAGAAGTAAAAACTCCTTATGTTCAAATGACATGATCCTTTACATAGAGAATCCAAAAATTATGCCAGAAGACTCTTAGAACTGATAGATAAATTCAGCAAAGTGGCAAGACACAATATTATACAGAAAAATCAACAATATTCTTATATACCAAAAACAAACTCACTGAGAAAGAAATCAGAAAAACAATCCCATGCCATTACCTTCAAAAAAATTAAAGACCTTGGCATTAACCTAACCAAGGAAGTGACAGACCTCTAGAACACAAACTATACTCTCCTTAAAAAAACATTGAAGAGGACATTAGAAAATGGAAAGACATCCCCCATTCTTTGACAAGAAGAATTAATATTGTCAAAATGATCACATTACCAAAAATGATTTAGCACAAAGATTTAACAAAATCCCATCAAAATCAGCTTTTGTCACAGAACTATAAAAAAAAGAACTGTAAAATTTACACAAGAGGGGCTGGGGATTTAGCTCAGCGGCATAAGTGCCTGCCTTGCAAGCAGGCAGTCGTGAGTTCGATCCCTGGTACCGATAAAAACGAAAAAGACAAAAAAAAAAAAAAGTTGTAATAAAAAAATTTACACAAGAACAGAAGAGACCCAGAATAGCCAAAGCAATCCTGGGCAACAAGAGCAAGCAGGAAATACTATAATCTTAGATTTCAATTTATACTACAAAGCCACAGTAGTAAAAACGGCATGGTGCTGCCACAAGAACACGCTGAGCAACAGAATAGAATGGTGGATGAAGAAACAACTCCAACCACCTTCAGCCAGCTGATCTTTGATAAAGGGGTCAATAATGTACACTGGAAAAAAGGCAGCCTCTTTAACAAATGGTGCTGGGAATGCTGGTTATCCACCTCTGAACACCTCTATACCTGTTTGGGGGGAAGAATGACCTTTCTTGGAGACAGTTCTGTAGCTTAGACCCAGGCCATAGTTAAGTTTAATCTTTGCTGCTTTGTAACAGTTCACCCTTCCTCCAGTTTCCAAAATGCATTCCTCACTAACCACATTACTAATATACACCTCAAAATTCTTCTAGCTTATATCCACTACTCAGTTACAAAGGTGTTTCTTCATTTTTAGGATCTTACAACACTAGTTCCTCACTTCCCAGTGCCAAAATCTGCCTTAGTTTGTTCAGTCTATCATAATGAAATCTTACAGACTGGGTAGTTTAATTACACAATAGAATTTATTTACTCAAATCTCAAGAAGCTGAGAAGTCCTAAACCAAGTGCCGGCCCACTCGGTTCCTAGCGGGGACCCTCTTCAGGTCTTGTGGACAGTCACCTTCTCCCTGCATCATCACATGACCTCTCTTCAGTGTATGTACACAAGAAAGGTCACTCTCTTTTTAGGTGAAGAATATCACTGAATTAGAATCCTACCCTTACAACCTCATTTAACCTTTCTGATCATCCAGATTCCCGATGTTCATATAAAGTCACATTAGAAGTTAAGGCTTCAACATAATGAATTTTGGGTGGTATAAATAGTGTAGGTAGTAAATTTTATATTATGCATATATTGTACCATAATTTTAAAAACAAAGTGAAAATCAATACAGAATATCAGAAAAATAGCTGGACATGGTGGCGCATGCCTGTAATTCCAGCATTTGGGAAGCTGAGGCAGGAGGCTTATTTTGAGTTCGAGACCAGCCTTGATTACAAAGTGAGTGCAAGGCCAGCCTGAACTGCACAGTGAGAACCCGTCTCAAAAAGACAAAAACAAACAAACAACAACAAAAAGTGTATCAGAAGATAAAAATACATAATACATCCATACAAAAAAGTGCATCCATACAAGGAAATATCATTCAGCTTTAGCAGAAAAATGAGCTATCAAGCCATGAAAAGACGTGAAAAAGCCTTAAATGTATACGGTGGTGTAAAGGTCCACCAGAAGGCCAAGTGTGGCAGTGCATACCTGCAATCCCAGCACTCCAGAGGCTGAGACAGAAGGAGCACTGCCAGTTCGAGGCCAGCTTAAGCTACAAAGTGAGTGCAAAGCCAGCCTGAACTGCACAATGAAACTGTCTCCAAAAGACCAAAAAACAAAAAACCTAAAACTCTTAAAAAGGCTACATATTGTATATTTCAAGCACTGTAATGTTGACAGTAAGAAGATTGGTGGGTAGCTAGAGTGTGAGGTGGGAAGGAAAAAGAGGCATACAGGGATAAATATGAGGGATTCAAGTGATGTTAGGGCAGGGAAAGTACTCTGTGTGACACTCTAGTGTCTTGCGGAGGTCACAGAGCAGAGGCCAATACTTAACCCCAGGTCTCTAACTCTAAAGTGCACGTGCTTTCTATTAATATAGAGCACTTATTCCAACTGCTTCAGGAGCTACGGAAAACAAAAGTGGTGCCACTATAAACCCATTGCCACCACTAATTTTAATTACACCTTCACGTAGTCACCAACATAGGAAAGACCATATTGACTATAAAAATACAACTTTAGCAAAGAAAAAGGCAACTGAAGAAGAAAAATATAACCTTAGCCTATCAAATCAGAGAATACCACTAGCTTGTGCCTAAACTTAACTTGATTAACCAGGATTCATCTTTTCTACAATTAAGAAAGAATACACACTTGCAAAATGATTGAGGAATCTATCCTCTCTTCCAAAGATGTCCGATGGCCTTATGATAGTGGCTTCTGGAAATGCATCGCTTACTTCTTTCTCTCCAACAGCCTAAACCAAAAATAAAACCATTGTAAGACATCCTGCCCTTATAATGTCTGCTGGAGTTCTTTTCATTTTTATTTCAGGGAAGCTTATGCTAAAGAAGAAAAAAGAAAAGTCAGAGCAGTTTTTCCAGCCTCCAGTTTTCTTCCTATTCATATGGGCTCCAATTTGTATAAACAACTTAGCAGCCTCCCAGAGAAGGAGCAGGACAGGCCTTCCTAATCTCAGCTGCTGCAGCTACCACCAGCTTCCCTCCCAGGTGAGCCCACTTTCTCACCCCTAGCACTACTGCGGACGGTATCAGTGCCCAAGCAGATGTGGACCTTCTGAGCTTCTCAAGGACCTCCTCTTCACTCTTTCTTCTGGCATTGCCATCTCAGTTACACCACAGATCTAACCAGCCACAGAAAGGGTCTGTTTTACACACCAATAAAGACACCCTGTTCTATGTCTCTCTCCCCACCCCAACCCCGATGACAATCTACACATCTAGTCTGCTTATTGTTCCATCTGCTCCTGTGATACCTGGTCCTCAGCCTTCTCGGGAACTCTGGCCCACTGATTCTACTTTTTCCTAAATTAACTATTCCTACTTTTTCTGACCTTTCCTCTGCATCCTAGGTTAGATTCCATGATCCATACTTTTTCATTTTCTTATCTACCTTGTAACTACCTTGCACCTGCGTCCTTTATCCACCCACCAGGCAAAACCCTAACCTTGCTTTACTTGCACTATCTTTAACATTTATTTCCACAGTCTTTTAACAACTTTAGGAAAATAAATACAAATCATAAATCAGTACTAGGATAAATCCATGCCAGATTTTAATTGGGCTCTTGTTTTTCCCAGAAATACTTTTTTCCTCTAATTTATTCTCCTATATAACAATTTCAAGGATTTTCTATTTCATTCAAATTTCAGGCTTCTCTTCCTTCCCCCTTCCTTCTAGTAAATGACTTTACCTTCTGATTCAAAGAGAAAAAATAAACATAAGATAGCAAGAAAAAAAAATATCAAGTCCTCACCACTAAATTTATAAACTCAGATGTGTGAAACACTGCTGTCTCCTCCTTTTCTACACTAGAGGAGCAGAGCCCGTATCCAGGGCTCTGGCACCCCCTCCTGCAGGCGTCTGGAGCCCACCTCCTTTTACCTTCTAAGAAATCTGCCCAATTTTCTGGGGTCTCTTGCTCTTGCTCTCTTTAGCAAAATTTTCTGTTTGCCCCATCAATGGTCACTTGTTCTCTTTAGCAAGACCTCCCACCACCATTTAAACAATGGAGATCTTCTACCATAAATATATTAAAAAGATCCAATTCCGCGTCCCCTCCTAGCTCCTACCTTTCTTCTTGCTCTTTCAGCCAGGTAAATTTCTTCCTTTCCTTCTTTCCACCTTTCTTCTTGCTCTTTCAGGTAAATTTACCTATCCTTCCCGTGCCCAATGCTTCTGCTCAAGCTCACCCTCTGCTTAACTGTCCTCTGTCAATGCCAACTGTCAATGTTTGCATTGAAACTATTTTTAAGGTTACTTTGATAAGATGTCCTTAATGTCATCAGATCTAAGACTTTCCAGTTCTCTTCCTGCTTGGCTTCTCAGTGGCATTAGCACACTGTCTTCTTTGGCTTGCAGAACGTGCAGCTCCTCAGCTTCTCCTCTGCTTTACAGTATCTGCTCCTGCTCGGTGTATTTATTTGTTCATATTTGGGTTTTGCACGTGCCTCTTCCTCTATCAGAGAACTCTATCGGGGTTATTAATCACTTCAAGCCCAGTTCCAAGTTCTCTTCTCATCTACATTCACTCAGGCCATTTTATGCCCTTTAGCTTCTCTAATTAACCACAAATGGTGACTGACTCCCAGATTTGCATCTACAATCTCTCTTCTGAGCTTCAAGGACATAAACGCATTTTACCACAGTTTACCTGCATAACTGATATACAACTAAAACCCACATCCAAACCTGGGCCAATTTCTACTCCCTCAAGTAAAACAGCCCTTCTCAATCTTTGCTGCTTGTGGAATAATTCAGATTTAAAAACTACTAACATTCATGCTTCACTCCCAAAGATTTTTGTTTTAAATTGACCTGGGGTATACCCTGGGCATCAGAAATTTTTATGTCTCCCTTAGTGATTCTAATTTGAAACTAAAGCTAAGAATCCTGCCCCAGAAGCTTAGTTTTTCCTCACATAGCTGCATCAATAGGACCACCACCCACCCAGTAGCTTAAGCCAGAGAGTTAGATGGCTTTGACACTCCACTTCTGAACTGTTAAATCCATCTAGATGCCAGGGCAGAGAACAGCACTTGTGCTCCGTTCTTATTCCCTCCCTCTGTCCAAAGTGGCCTTCACGTGACACCTGGGTCCCACCTCAGCCAGTCCTCTGCCTCTGCAAGACATAGATTATGCAGAGAGCAGGTCAGAGGGCGGAGAAGTAGAGAACAAAGCTGGAGGCCTGATCCTTGGCATCCTGTGTAGTAGAGGTTCTCTACTGCTGGATCTCTTAATACGAGAGCCTATAAACTCTATGCTTAAACCAGGTCAACATGGACTTTTCTGTTGCTAGTAATGATGTGTTCCTAACAGGTACTCTCTCTCCTATCATCTGCTCCTGTTGCATAGTTTGCCACTTTAGGACACTTGGTGCATCCAGAATTATTTTCCACAGGAAACCAGACCTTACTGTGGACTAGGATTAGTTCTATTGTACTGACCTAACTCCAGCACTTAATAGATTACAGGGGCACAAAGCCAGTGCTTAATAAATAATGTTCGATATATGAATACAGTTAATCAAAAGGTTGGAGCCATTTTCAAGGCCTCCACTGTGCTTATTGGTATGATTACAGAGGGTCTGAAGATGGCAGAAGGCAAATGCTCGGGGCAAACCAGACCTTCATACCTGTCAGTCCCTGAGAACAAAGTTTTCAAAACACAGTAGTCAACCCCTCTCTATAATCTGGACTCCCATGTGGTTTTTGGGAGCATAAGATTAAATTTCATGTGAAGAGCCATTTTCCTTAGCAGATATTTGTTCATGTCCTTCTCGGCCTTCACATCACCTACGGTATGAACCTGTGATTATTCAAGAAGCCTGAAAAACAAAAATGATCCTTTACTCTCAGAGGTGACACAAGTAAGTTTCTTTTGGCAGGATGCATACTTTACCCCTTAGAGTGCTTTCTATGTGCTTCTATCGTACCCTGGAGAAACTTGAAGCAGCTGAGGCAGGTAATAATATGGTCTGCCTATTTTTGAAGCCTCTTGGCATGTAAATAGAAGGCATTCAACCAATATGCCAGTACCCAATATACACACATCCATTGCTGGGGGTGGAGAAGTCCTCTGAATTTTCAACACATTGATGAAAACCTTCCTCATTTATATCACATTTTAAAGGGATCAAGAAATTCTAGCTCTGTAAGGCAGTGGCCTGATCAGCTTGTTAGTTACCTTACTTCTCAGGTATCTAGAAGTGCTTTTAATGTCAGCATTCAGATGAGAAACATGAATGAGTTTTTCAACTCCAGCTTCCATAGACGCTTGAGCTATTGCTTGGGGAATCTTCACAAAAACATCCTCAAAATCAAAGTTTCTGGGAAGAAAATATAAAAGATTAGTTAAGAAACCCAGACTCAGAATTTCAAAGCATTTTGTGATATGCTAGTTTTCAAAAAAGGACTAGAATTCATCACACACTTTTAAACAGTCATTCTTTAGTTCTAAGTCAAAATTAATGTTTCTCAAAGCTGACAAGCCAAGCTCACTGTGATTACTGTACCTAGTACAACTCTCAGAGTTTTAAAACCAGCACATGCAATATTCTGTGTTCTCAAGGAATTCTGAGGCTGAAGAAAAGCTGGCTTCCCAAGGCATGGTGGCATATAGCTATAATCCCAGCTCTCAGGAGGTAGAGATAGGAAGATTTCCATGAGTTCAAGGCTAGCCTGGGCTTCACAGTGAGTTCAAAGCCAGGTTGAACTACATAGGGAAACCTCCTTATCTCAGAAAACATAAGAAAAAAAAAGAAAAAAGAAGAAAGAAAAGGAAATCTAGTTGTACAGTTAGTGATGAGGAAGAAAATGTTGGGAAATGTTGGGAGCTAGAAAGGGAATTACTTTTCACTTCCCCATACTTTATTTCCCTTGACGGGGAAAAAAAAACCTAAAAAAAAAATTAACCAATCAATGCATAACATTAACTACACTTTAGGGGACACAAAGTTAAACACGATTCTGTATGTCATCAAAGAATCTGAAAAATACTTACTGAAACAGATACAAACAAATCTAGGTCAACGTTTAACAAATGCAAAAACAGTGTGGTACTATAAGATTAAAAACATCATTTGCTGGTAATTCATAGGAAGGCTAAACAGACTTGTTTGAACCAGTAGTTACACCATCTTCAACTATCAATAGGCAGAAGCAATCTAAAACATTGTCCACACAAGAAAAACCAATGTTCTGCTTGCTGAAACATGCACCAGATACAACCCAACCTCCTAACCCCATCCCAGATGAACAGATCCAAGTACAGGTCCACCTGTGGTCCTGGTCAAGTTGATAAAACCAAGCACACAGCCAGATATGGACCACCACACTGCCGTAACCCTGACATGTCGACAACCACACCAGCTTTGTATGGCAGCACATCGCACTGCTGCCTCATACGACAGTACCCTAAACTAAGTCTAAGGCAGTCACTGGGATACAAATGGACAACCAATCAACCCTCACTAATGAGCTAATTAAAAATATGACTACAATGCCAATAGACATAGACAGACTTGTACAAAAAAAAAAAAGATACGAGAGCCTAAAACTCACCTGGTTTCCCAGTCTCGTCCGACAAGGTTGATGACCACATTGCTGTACTGTACTGCTCTTCGGATAGAATCTTTGTCTCTTGCATCCCATTCCTGTTAACAGTTACAGTCGCCAGTCAGAGGAAAATACAGGGCGCACAGTGTGCTTAGTAATTTGCTGGCTCCCTAAGCAAGATTTGGAATGGGCCATCTGTGTTATCTTACTACGGTACCATTTCATAGAGGTCCCATGGAGGACAAGTGAAATAATGCTGAGGCCTTGGATTCCCTGCAGATTCTGACTGGTCTGCAGACAAAGAGGTCAAAGCCTATTTTACTCAGGTAAACAAATGACTGACCTGCAAGAGGGGCTGCTCATATTTAATGCAGCATATTACTTTTTGTCCACCCAATTACTCTCCATGTTGGTAAAGAAATCTAATAATAAAAAAGTCTCCTGAAACATGGCCAAAGAACAAAGGATCACTGGGGAGGGAAAACAAACTTCCTCTTGTTAGCAGCAACCAGTTATAGACTAAAGATAGGAAGAGTGTCTTTTAAAGGCTATCATTAAATTCATGGCACTCCTGACTACATACTTTCTTGTTTTTTAAACTCTTGTTTTTAAACTCTGAGTTTTTTAAACTCATATCTAGTAATTTCTACTTTAAAGTATGAAAACAGACCAAGCATGATGGTGCACACTTGTAATTCAACCACTCTGGGAGGCTGCAGCAGGAAAATTACAAGTTCAAGTGTAGCTTGGGCACCTTAACAACTTAATGAGACCCCACCTTAAAATACAAAATAAAACTGGCTGGGGCTATAGCTTAGTGCAAAGGCCCTGCATTCAGCCCCCTGTACACAGTGGGAAAAGACCTGGAAACAAGAGTCAGAGAGAAATGCACTAACCCCTGAGATTTTAGCACAGAACCACACTTCTGAGCAGTTCATAAATGACTAAGAACTTAAGTCAGGTCGAAGAACCTGCCCAACACAGTTACAAGGGATTAAGTAATCCCAGGAAAAAAGAAGAGTATATTGTTGAACAGAAATTGAATCTGGTGAACATTTCAATGGAAGACAGTGAAAAGAATTTCCTAAGGCCCAGTACAATGTGCCTGCAGTGAGTCCACACGCTGGGAGGGGAGGTAATAAAGAGAAAAAAGAGGAAAGGGGAGACAGAAAGAAGACAGGAATGTCCTCAAGCATCTGTGTGACTTAGAAAAGAGGGAGAACCGCTTCCAGAGGACAAAGACCCAACAGGAAGAACGGGATAGCTGCTCATGGAAAGCAGAGTAACGAAACTGTAGAGAACAGTAGTGTTGGAGTTAGACAGAAATGCAATCTTTGCTTGCTGTTTGCCACTAACCGTGGACAAGTCATCTCTCCAAGTCCCATGTTAAATTAGAAAAGGCAACCTACCTGGTGTAGTAGATGAAACGAAACATAGTAAAACCTGCAGCACAGTGAGGCATACACTCAACAAACAACTAGCTCTATACACAAAACGATAAAAAAGGCTTTTTCAAAGATGCAAAGGGTAAGGACAAAAGTCAAGATGACTCACGGGAGAAGAGTTTGAGGCATAACTGCACCCAGTAACAGCCTTGAGGAAGGACCAAAAAGGAAGCAGACTCTCTCTCAGAGGTAGGGTCCAGAGGGCAAATAAACCAAGTGGGTTAGACAACAATTTCGAACAGGGACTAAAGCAGGGAAATCACACCCCACCCTCAAAATAGGCCTTCCTTTTCAGAAATAAATTAACACAGAAAGAACATAACTAAACAGTAAACTGAGTCCCCTGTGACATGCTCAAAGCTCAATTCAATGTCAGATGCTTAGTAATAAATATCTGCAAGAACAAGAGAATAATGTCCTATGGCTCAGTGTCAGTGATTCCACATTGGCAAGCCTGTCAACAGTTTTACCTAGTACTTGTGAAATACTTTAACTTACAGATGCAGAGGTCACCAATGCATGAATATCAAATAAGGAGGGGAATGTCAAGCTCTTGCAACAATAATAACAAAAAAATGATAATAAAATTTTAGAAAAGAAAAAAAAACAAGAAATTTCTAGTGTATTATAGTTAGCTTTTGAGCATTCAGTAAAGAATAATAAAATGCCACTAAAAATAAAGCCCAAACTTCAGGGTTTCAAATAATCTATAGAAATACAGACTCAGAGATATTAAGGATATTTACCCAATGTTTTTCAAAAGAAAAGCGAGTAAAAGGAAGAGATTAGTGCCATGCAGAATGTTAGAGTAGGAAGGGCACAGGGAAGTCAAGCATCTGGCCAAAAGGGCAGCAAACTGTAGAACAGCTCAGACATTTTTGAGGCAGGCTAACTCTGTGTGGAAAAGGTCTGCTCTGGATGCTACAGGGCAGGGACAGCAAGCCTTTTAGAGACTGAGTGCCCAAACTGCTCATGATGTCATCACCCAGCACTGCCACTCCATGCCAAGCTTGCATACGGCCTCTATGTGCACTGTTACTGATGGTCAGGTGGTGGTAGGCTACCAACAGAGAGAGCTCCGTGTGCTCACTGCATGTAGCACACACGCCATACGTCCACCATCTCTGCAATAGGGCATTTACCATCCTTAGTTTCTACCTGATAGACCAATATGGCTCTCCACTCACTGTAGCCCTAAGGAGCTCCACATATTCCTAGTCACTCAGTGAAAGGCTCTCTCTGCCTTGCACTTTTGGCACTATTAGTCTAAAGGAAAAAACTACAGATTAAAGAGCAATAGGGGATGGGGATTTAGCTCAGTGGCATAAGCGCCTGCCTTGCAAGCAAGCAGTTGTGAGTTCGATCCCTGGTACCGATAAAAAGGAAAAAGACAAAAAAAAAAAAAAAGAGCGATAACAGGGAACGTGTGCTTATAAAGCACTGTTCTAAGTTACAACTGTGACAAGCAAACTAAATTATAAAGCATCATGTTCATCATGTTTTTCTATGAAAGCAATGTTTGATAGAAACAATACATTATACATATGTAATTCTGAATTTACTACTTTCTGAATTTTCTATTAGGCACATTTACAAGAATAAAAAGGAATGTACTTTAACAATATATTTCATTTAACTTGAAATATCTAAAATATTATTTCAATATGTAATAACTGTAAAACTTATTAATGCTATTTTTGAATTTTATTTTCTTCATACGAAGTCTTTGAAATCTGTATTTTAGACCTATAGCACACTCAGTTTAGACTTGAAATATTTCAAGTGCTTTGCATGTGGTTACCACATATGGTTAGCAGCTACCACACTAGATAGCATTAGACTAGAGCAGGGGGTTAGCAAGCTATAGCCTTCAGGCCAAAAAGTGTGGCCTACAGCTAGGTATGGTGGCACATATCTGTAATCTCAACACTTGGGAGGCTGAGGCAAGAGGACTGGTGCAAGTTTGAGGCCAGCCTGGGATACACAGTGAGTTCAGGATCAGCCGGAACTACATAATGATACCCTATCTGAAAACAAAGAAAAAGAAAGCAAGCAAGGAGGCAGGCAGGCAGGCAGGCATACAGTTTAATTTTTATAAATAAAGTGTTAGGAATAGAGGCATACCCACTGGTTTACATATTGTCTATGGCTGCTTTTAGGGTACAAAGATAGAGCTGAGTGATTATAACAAGTGCCCTATGACCTGCAGAACCTAAATTTTTACTATTTGGCCCCTTACAGCAAATTTGCCAATTGCTAGCCAGGTGTGGAGGTGCAAGCCTGTAATTCCAGCACTTGGGAGACTAAAGCAGGAGAGCACTGTGACATCTGGACTACACAGAAAGTTCAAGGCCAGTCTAAACAACATGGTGAGACCCTGTCTCAAAAAGCCGAGAAAAAAAAAGCAGAAGAAGAAAGTTTGCCAGCTGCTGATCAACAGTTTGTACACTAAGAGATGTAGAAACTTAAAAAATCACCTCCTGAAAGAATAGAGGCTGCCTTTGATGCTGGGATAAAACTGCTGCTTTATTATACTGCCTCTTACTCCTAAGAATAACCTGAGTAATTTACATTTGCTAACCCCAATTACCAGTCATTAAGGTCTTACCAGAAAGGTAAGCTGGCCCAGGTCACCCATGGGCCGAAGATGCATGATGTCGTAAGTATCACATCGATAGGGCAGGATCACTTGTGACCCCATCTGTCCTAAAACATGAGAGGTTGAAACACAGATCAGCATCTATAGAACATGATACATTACACAATAATGGTACAGTAGAGATTTAAATTCTAGTATGATATGTGGGTTGATAATATATTTAATAAAACAGTGTATTTTGCCATGTTCAAGATGCCATAACTTTCCAGACTCCCTCACACCCATCTTAATGACCTATCTAGAAAGGCCAGATGTATTCTAAATCTAGTAGTCCATAAAAATCAGATAAATCCAAGAGAGAAATTGCATACTGCTAAAATGAGAAGTCCAGTCTATGGCCTCTCATTAGATACTCCTAATGAAGGGGAGGAAAGCATACTGAACATGAAAATGTTACTTACCAAGGCGGTTGACAACATATCGTCCCAGGAATCCTGTTGCTCCAAATACAGTGGCCACAATCCCACTGACAGAGGAACGCCCACCTTTACCATGAGGGATGACTGCGTGATGGAGTCGGCGGTAAGGCGGGCCATGAAATGCAGATGTGGCTACTGCAGCAATGGCAGAACCTTAAACAAAACCCCAGAGTACACAAAAACAGCAAATATTAGTAGAAAAGTAACTGAAAAAACATAACATCTTTCCCTGAAAACTTGTAACACTATTTTGTGACCAGTATCTTAGGAATGTGAATAGAAACAGCATTAATAAACTTAAAGTATTCCAACAGAAAATTCCAAGACCATCAGAAAATATATAAAAATTAGAAAGTAAACTCCATGTCCCTATTGGATATAATTTATCTGGAAAAATAAATCCCATTAAGTCACATTATCATAAGACTCTTGGATACTGCATTTCGAGAAAAGTTTTCAAGAAAAATAATAGGAATAGTAGAATCTCTTGAGAAACACTAACCACATATAACAGAGGTAGGAAGGATTAAGACTAATGGAGGGTAGGAGCAAAAGACCTACGTGTAACAGATTCTTAAACTGGTGACTCACAAAAAATAAGGTTGTGGCACTCATCCACTGTAACAGCAGAAGGCACTCATCCACTGTAACAAGATGAAAGATTGAGAATTATCACAAGCCAACTCCTGGATTTTAGCTGGGACGAGGCAGGTTAGAGGCAGAGAATTATTAGTACAAAGCATTAAAAAGTAAACTAATTGAGAAATATCAAAAATCAGGAGGATAAAATGCTGAGAAAAAATTTTCTAACTTTGAGAAAGGTGACTACCAAATAATTTGTCAAATCTCCCACCACTTCTTTGTGGACTCATGTTCTAGAAGAAACCTTCAAAGTCTGTGCATCTCCACAGAACGTGCATCAACAGAAGTCCTGTCCTTAGCCTCAACACCTGTGGCATGAAAAAGTTTTTTGTAGCAGCCTCTATCTGACAGGAATCATCCTAACGGTTGGCAGGTCTTACCATCAGAAGACCTTATCGTTGTCTTTTCAGGAGAGAGGGTCTAAAACCCCTTCTATATTTAAGTAGAGGAATTACAGCCCCATTGGACTATTCTCTTCTGCAGGTTATTATCTCCAGTTTAACTAACTACTCCTCACTCTTAGACATACTCTAATTTGCTAGTCTCTTCTCACTTCTCAGAGTTTTACAGCAAGTTACCCAATTCTCACATAACTAACTTTAAAGCTTAGCACTGGTGCTTTGCACACTTGAGGAAGAGTGTAAGAAACAAATTGGAAGCAGGAGGATCACTGGGTGTTCAAGGCCACCTGAACTACATAGTAAGAATCTGTCTAAAAAAAAAAAAAAGTGAAGAAGGTGAAGTAATGAAACACAAAACCACAGAATCTAGAAGATGTTGGCTGTAGCTACCATAAGAACAATGTTAATGTATTAGTGAGACTGAAAACCAGTTAGGAGCAGGCAAAAGAGAGAATGTTAGGTGAGAAAATAACAAAACTACAGATAATTCTTCTGAGTTAATATGATATAAGGAACAAAGTGAGACTAGAGGAACATGAGGACGAGGAGGTTTCTCTCTTAATATAAGTTATTATACGCTGATATAAATGACCCAGGAACAGGGGAAAATTACTAATTCAGGGAGAGGATGCATCGGTAAGAGACAACAGGATAGAATGCAAGGTGAAGAAACTGGCTTTAGGTCACAGCGAAGGCACTCATCCACTGTAACAAGAAGAAAGACTGAGAATTATCACAGATCAACTCCTAGATTTTAGCTGTGACAAGATTGCTCTTAACTGATACCTCTGACTTCTCTGCAAAGCTAAAAATGAGACAAACATACATATGAGACACTTTAGGAGACTAGCAAAGAGGTAATTGTTATAAAGAAAGTCTCAAAAGCAAAATTCCTAGAAAAACACAGTGCTGGAAATCTACTTGAGATTAAAATAAAGCCAGTTAGTTCAGTTTTCTCTGGCTTCATTATCTGTGCTCAGGAGCAAGCAGAAAATACTGGGAAAGGGTGGGATAATCAGGGCCATTGCTTTTTATGACAAGACGAGATGGATGAGGAGCTGAAATATGTCTAAAAGGGAATAAATAAATGGTGAGTGGAGAATGAAGCAAAGACAATAGGATACATAGCAGGGGAAAATAGTGACAATGGAACAGAAACAATTACTGGGGAGAGAAGGAAGTAACACCTCAAAAGACTGTTATGAGGACTAGAATAAATGTACATAAAGCATTTTATTGTCTACCACAAAGAAAGGTACGTATTACTGCACAAATGACCGCTTTCATTTACTATTACTTTGAAATTCCTCAGAAGGTAACTAATGTGATATTGTTTATTCACTAATTATGGGTCAAGTACTGTTCTAGAAACAGAATTTCACAGTAAAAAAAACCACTAGCGATGGAACTCACAATTTAGGGGATTGGGATGAGAATATATAATATGGAAAAGTATCCACCATAGAATATTGCATATAGTAGGAGATTAATAAATATAAATTCTCCTTAGCTTCAGTCTCTCCATTATTTCCATTTAACATGCAGGAGAATAATACTCTTCATTCATTATATAGTCACTATATTTCTTTGCTCAAAAACCTCATTACACTATAATATCCAAAGCAATAGTCCAGATATATTTACTTGCACACCACATTATTTTAAAAGATATTTATTTAAAGCACCTGCCTTGCAAGCAGGCAGTCGTGAGTTCGATCCCCAGTACCGATAAAAATGAAAAAGACAAAAAAAAAAAAAAAAAAGATATTTATTTAAATTATATACATGTAATACCAATATGTTACATATTTTAAAGCAGATAATAAAACATGCAAAATAGTGGCTGGTATAGTTTGAACTACATAAATGTTAGCTATTGATATTATAGAAAAATATTAAGTTATAATGCTTTTTTATATTTCATTGGTTCCTCTTGCAAAATTCACAGTGGAAATCACTGTTCTAAACTCTGCTTGGCTTTCACAGGCTTTCATTATCTGATCTCAGGTAACACATCCAACTCCTTTCCAGTATCCAAGACATTTGTAGTCATTTCACTTTTTCTATAAGCACTTGTTGACTCCATTCCACTGCCATGTCTTTACCAGTGGAAAATGCCCAACATCTGACTTTTCAGATCCTAAACACACTACACAGATTGATACATAGGTACCACTTCTCCATTCATCTTCCAATATTCCCTCACTATCCCAAATGACAATACTCTTTTCCTTTTTTGACTTTGTATTATAATTAAGGGTTTTGCCACATGTAAATACATAAAATTGTTTCACACAGTTCTGTACTAGTGTTTGGACTATGTTACCCCCTAGAGTGTCCAGAATGTATTCAAAAGTTTATTTTACCAGAGACAAGCCCAAGCTACAGTGTCTATTAAAGAAAAATAGGCTGAAGGGGAGAAAAAGGTAATGAAAATATCCAGAACTGTGGCTATATATAATAAGGGTTCAAAAAATAAGCTACAATTCACAATCTATAAGATGTTTCATTAATGTAATAGCTCAGCAAGAACCAGCAAATATCTTTACAAAGATTCATGACTACAAAACCATCCACAGTAAATGATGCGCACCACTTTTCTTCCCAATGCTATGTAGTCCTATCCAAGATGAAAAACCAAAAAAGGTCCCCTAAACCCCCCTAAATCTCTCCTCTGCTGAACACCAGAACTATCTATATAATGCTTTAACATTTTAAAAGTGCAAGAAGCAAATTTCAAAAATCTGGATGTGATATTTCTATATTGAATTCCCTCTTTCATTCTTCATAAAGCATTAAGAGGGATTCTTACAGCCAGTTTTGAAAGCAAATGATTATACTGTAATGACTTAAATATGTTATGGAAAAATAAATTTTTGTGGGTCGATTGTGGCATATTGGTGAAGTAGAGAGTGAAAAGATGAAGTGTAGCTGTACTTTTAATTTCTTAGCTCCTCTTGCTCTGTAGCAACTGAAAAGGAAATGTATGTTTTCCGTCAGAGGACTAAGAACAAATTCAATCAGCATAGAAAACAAATAACGCTGACAAGTTCGAATACATCTTTCACTCCTCTTCACTTTCCTTTCCAAAAAGTTTCTGTTTCGTTTCACAAACATCCCTGTCTCCTCCAGGTTCTAGGGGCCCAAGCTAACACACTCTACAACTATCTAGAGCTGCTTTTGATTAGAAAGGCTTTTATAAACAGTACTTCATTTAAGCTTCTCAGAAATTCCCTGACGTTGAGATTATCATTGCTATCGTTACAGGGAGAATCTGAAGATGGGATGGATTAATGGTTTTGCATAAAGTCAATAACCTATGAGAAATTTCTTCGCTATCCATTTTTCCTTTCCCTTTCCAGCACCTCCCCCGATTCCATTCAAACATTTTTTCATAACCTCAAGGCATTATGACCCTAACAGAACTCTGATCATCTCGATTCGTTAAGGGTCCCTACTTTCTTCTCTTTCCTTCCCATTTGCTCATGTTCTCTTGACTGTTTCCCAAGTGCACAATTTAATACGTAAACCAGGGAGGTGGAAAAGTAAAGGAGAAACTGGACAGAGGCGGCTCCGAACCTAGACAAACCAGACTGCTCAATGAACTGGCAGGACCGCACTCCTGTCTCAGAATCTCGATCAAGGGCCGCAGTTCCCTTTGACACTTACGTGACATTGGCAGAGCGCGGACAACCTGGGGGTGAGCAACGGCCGCCATCTTTTCCCATAATCCACCTCGGCTCGCACTCCGGCCGACTACGGCTTCTCATATAGGTCAAATATTCTTTCCCACAGCAGTCTGCGCCGGCGCTAACCCGGAAGTGAAGAGATGGGTTATAGATTGGGTAAAAACGCTGTTGAGAAGGAATCTGGGAAGGCAGAGGATACCAGGAGGGAGGGAAAGGAAGAGAAGAAGAAAGAAAAAGAATTTTGGAGGGCTGGGGATTTAGCTCAGCGGTATAAGCGCCTGCCTGGGAAGCACAAAATAATGAGTTTGACCCCTGGTAACCAAAAAAAAAAAAAGAATTTTGGAATCTTAGCTCTGAAATGAACCTTAAAGATAAAGGCATATTGCTAAATAGCAAATTTCAGAGCTATCCGGGGATGTGACTCGAGGGAATACAAGATGACAAAACCCGAAATGTAGGAGCTCAACTTTCTTCTTGGTTCACTGTTCCTTGACAGGGACCAGAGAGGGCAGCCCGGTTAGGCTGATGATAGGGAGGAGGTATGACCTGAAATGGGTTCGGGAACAGTATAGGCATCCAAGCAGCCAAGTTGATATATTTGGGAATTAATTAGCTGAGCTCAGTGACCACTCGCGTAGAAAGCCGTTTTCAGAGTCCCACTAAGTGGCACTGAACTGGAAAGTTACAAAGCTTTTAAAACAAAGAACCACAAAAAGACATCCTGTTGGAAAAAATTTAGCTAGAATCTTAATTTTTGGTTGACACCTGTATCCTGCTTCTTTTTCTCCTGCAGGTGCAGCTCATTCTGCTTTTCTCATGAGACTTGTACCTTGAGTAATTTTCCATTTTCCTGGATCAAATACAGGGCACTAGTTAAATGCAGCGCTCAAGATGGCATCAGTTATGCCAAGCTACAACATGACCCTGCACTTAAGAAATTCCAGGAGGAAGGGTTTAAAAACAGTAGTGGAAATGAGCATGCGTCCTAAATAAAGGCATCCTGAGTCCACCCAGTTATTCTGTCGAGGCCCTGTACTTCGAAATGCACTTAGAACACTCAATTTCTGCTTGTGTGATTTTGGAGGCTTCTCAGTATTTTACCCAAGTGATGATCATTCTACTTACCGTGTTTTGTTCTTTCAAAACAAAATACTTAACACCTATTGATGAATCTGGAACTTCATACCTGGAGTGCGATTCCTCTGTTGACTTAAGAACGTCTCAAACTCCTAAGGTGTTATGTAAAAGCCAATAGCCCCATATACTGTCTGCTCATTTTTCTTCCAGGAAACTGCAGGTAACCCTCTCTAGTGTAGCGGTTTGTAATTTTGTTTGTTTGTTTAAACTATGGCTCCCCTTGAGAATCTGCATTGTTCTAGAAAGAGACAAGTGGAGACCAAAGAAACTCCAGAAACATAAGACTATAAAGTTGCATTTTAAAATACTTTATTCTGCCAACCATGGCAGCACCCCCCTGTAATCCCAGCCCTTGTGAGGCTGAGACAGAATTACCACAAGTTGGAGACCTGAACAACACGTTGTCCCCAAAATATACAGTACTTTCTTTTGATCCCTTCTTGAAATCTCTGACAGTCAATGATCCTATAAGATACACTGTAGGTTTACCAGAAAACAACCCAATTTGGGCAAATCTTTCTAGATTTAGTAATTCCTTCAGTGATTTGCACATTTTGCTGGGATGGACAGCAAGCTTACAGAGATTAAGGGTTGCTTATTAGGTTTATAAGATTCTGTTTCCATTCTATCCCACCCTTCTGCTTCCTAAAGTGTCACCCAAATTGAATTGGAAGAGGAAAGAAACCCTTGAATTTTGTCAGAGAAGCTTAGTAATGCTTTATTGTTTTGTTTTTGCCTTGTTCTATGTTCACTTAGTGCTGATTATTTCCTAATCCTGTACTTGACTGATACATTAACATTCTCCTGAATCTAATAAATTGACAAGCCCCATTGTCATCTGTCATCTTAGTCAAACACTGCTTCACATTCTCCTAGTTTCAGAGTATCCAGGTATAGTTAGAAGAGCACCTTAACTTCCAGAATATTAGGTCCTCCAGTGCCACGTCTACCAGTTATTTAGTTGTGACTTAATCAAGCTTCTCCACCTAATGAAAAAAATGCCTGCACTGTTGTCTTGAAAGCTTATTGTGATAATCAGATAATGTATTGGATGTGAAGGAGCTTTGTCAACTGCAAAGTGCTGTGTGCAGATATATGAAAAAACTAAGACAATATAAAAGATAGAAACAATTGAGGGATACCTATATAATAAAACTGGAAGGTCAGCCTGTTCACATTTGATCTGCAAGAAAAGAAACTTCCCAGAACTATTGCAACCACAAAAGTCAACTCCACCTAGGAATGTACCCTATGACAAACTCTATCACAATCTGCTGCTCTCACCTAGCTCACCTGCAGAGCCCCTCACCCCTAGAACAACCCTTAAAAACTTTTCCCAAGCCAAATGGTGGCTGTCTTGGTGTGCAAGGCAGCCAGCCCCCTAACCATTAAAGCCTCTCTTTTGAGGCAAAATGTCTCATCTAGTTTATGTGGGTTCCATTCCATCAAACCAGTCACTTTTGAATGTTGCAATTTTAATCTATACCTTGTCTTTTCCTTGATCAGAACTTTTTTGCTTCATGGAAACTATATTTCATATCATTAAAGAGTATCTATGGCAACATTTTCAAAGAGTGTATTGAAAAATCTTTCTCAATCTAGAAAGTAATCTCCAACCAAATGCCTCTTGGTCACATATGAAATGTTGCAAAAATAAATTAGGATTACTTAATTTCTGACTATCAAAGATACATTATAACCCAGCGGTGATCAGTGTAGGCTAAATATCCCAAAAGTAGTTTCTGTTTTGTTTCATTTTCTTATCACAGACAAAATGCTTACAAGAAGTCCAGGCTGGATCCCAAAAATGAAGTGATTCCACGGGCATCATGTAAGGAGTTCAGGAGACCCTCAATTCTTTTGTTTCACATTCTCCTCTGTAACTATCTGGCTTTGTTAGTATATAGTTACTCTGCTGTCTTAAATGAACCCAATGGCAAAATTTTCCTTCCTATACAACCCCACCTAAATTAAACACTCAAAGAGAAGTAAGAGAAAACAAGCCTACTCCCTTCCACAGTAAAACCAGAGCTTTCAGATGTGCCTTTGCCTCTCCTCTTGTCCTTTCAATCTCTAATTGTGGACACAGTACAGTGTTGCTATAGAGACAGTGATATCACTAGTTGGGATTCTGATGTCATCCCTAGTCCCAACAAAGGAGAGGTGCATGGCAGGCAGGTGGAGGAAACAAGATCTAGAGCTGAGCAAGAACATCCCAGCATCTCATTGATGTTAAAAGTATATTCTGGAGTCTTCTGTGGTTCACTAATCCAGAGCTTACAGAGGTAGGAAATCCCTGTGGGCTGATAAAAGAGCCCATTTTCTGAACTTCTGTGGCTAGAAGGGAAAATTCATGTGACAGATAATGGGCAACTTTATATTCAACCTAGCCTTCTTCTGCCCAGCCCATTTGAATGAGTCTATGACTCAGCAGATTTTGTTGATAACATCTGATTTTGTCAACCGATTTGACCAGATCTCTCTGGCTTTCCTTTAGGAAGTAAGAGTGATCTTACTTCTTTCTCTGTGAGACTTCGAGAGTGTAAGCTTGCCTTCTTACTGACTTCTCTTTTTTGTTGTCTGGCTGTTCCATTTTTTTCTGGTATTCTGAAAGTTGAATCAGACTGGTATGCCTCTGAGTCCAGTTCTCATCCATTTTAATCCTCTTATTATTTTTGAAGCCTTGGTAAGACCACGGAGTACTGGGGATGGGCAGGATTTATATGGCTATGTAGACAAAGCATCTGAAAAAGAAGCTATTATTACTAAAGAAAAGCAAAATAGAGGTTCCAGGGGAAAGCTTAATAGTGAATGGTGATAAAGAAACACACACAATCTTTATTTAAAACAAAATCAGTTAAAACTTTGATATCATAATAACCCAATTCATTGAATTCCTGCAGTGTAGCAGCCACTTACAGAAAGAGAAAAGCCAGGCATTGTGACACACAGTTGAAATTCCAGCACTCAGGCAGAGATGTGAGGACTGCAATTGAAAACAGACAAAAAGGGCTGGGACGTTGTCCCTCAGACAAAGGACATATCTATAACATTAAAAGAATTGAAAAATCAGGCCCCTCCTCCTAAATTCAAAGACCCAATCCAAAAATGGGTGGCTGAAATGAACACGTGCTTCTCAGATGAAGAAATACAAAAAGCAAATTATGAAAAAATGTTCAACATCATTGGTCATTTGAGAGATATAAACTAAAACAACACTGAGATTCCATCTCACCCCATTAAGAATGGCTATTATCAGGAAATCAACCAGTAACAAAAGCTGGAGGGGCTGTAGGGAAAAAGGCACACTTCTTCACTATTAGTGGGAGTGTAGACTGGTACAACCACTATGGAAATCAGAGTGGAGAGTTCCCAAAAATCTAGGATTAACAGTCCCATTTAACTCAGCTATTCTCCTTCTGGGTATTTTCCCAAAAGAATTGAAAAAAATCATACCATAGCGATATTTGTGCACCCATGTGTATAGTGGCACAATTGATAACAGCTAAATCTTGAAAACAACCCAATGCCTATCAACCAAGGAATGGGTAAAAAAAAAGATGTGATTTTTATATAATGGAGTACTACTCAGATATAAAGAAGAATAAATGAGACATTTATAGGAAAATGAATGCAAATTGAGACTATACTCATAAGTGAAATAAATCAGACTTGTATGTGTAAACATCATATTATCTCCCTACTGTAAGAAACAGAAAGAGTAAATAGATCCAAATGTACAAAAGTATTGTGAAATCTGAAGAAACTGTTCAAAAGGAAAAAGATAACTGGGATAGAGAAAAGAAAAAAGCAATAGAAAAGGAATATATATATGTATATATAAGTATATATGTATGTATATATGTATATTTATGTATATACGTACATATATATTTCCCCAAAATAATTGATAGTCATACTACTAATTGCTATTAGTTCATTGAAAAAGGAAGATTTGTGCCTGTATTGTTTGATCAATTTTTCATGCCTGTATCTTATAATTTAAGCAACTACTTTGAAGATATGCAATGTAGTAGCCATTGTTACTCTCCCACAATCCTGTTTTGAAATTTTGTACCATGGTTTCCATTGTTTTTTTCTTTAAAATTAAAATTTAAATTCAAAAAATGTACAGGGCCGAGGATGTTGCTTATGTAAAACCCTTGGATTAAATCTCCAGGATTGGTGGGAAGGAGATAATGGATATACATGTTGCATCCCCTCAATGGCTTCATTTATGCTGCCTAGAATTTAGCTTTTCATAAATTTAGGAACTTTTAATAAAGAGAACCCTCTTGATTCAGAAGGATACAGGAGACTATGTCTTGATTTGGAGGTACAGTCTAGAGATTACCAGCCACACCCTTTATTGCTTATGCCTTCCCACTGGCAGTCATGATTTGCCCTGCATCCTCCTCGATTTGAGATAATAATCACGACTGTATTTTTGAAGAAGGTTTTAGGTTAACTATCTCTGTGGCTACAGAATCATTGTGTTGGCCATAAAACATAATTCCACAGCTTTGAGGCCATTAAACTCCCAAGTTAGAGTATCTACAGAAATATATGCGTTGGTTCTAATATTCCCTTTTCAGAACTCATTTTCCTATAATGAGGGTGCTAGAAAAATGATGCACATAGCCATAGATGTCAGTATATTTATAGAGATGGTTTTCTGTTCTTTTCAAATTAGATAACATGATACCTTTTTAAGTTTCCACCATATCTTTAAGATATTATTACCAAGTTTTGAACTCATAAAGAAATGCATGTATTCCCTCACTAACTCTGTACACTCTTTTTCACTTCATTATGGGAGATGTACACATTGATTTGGAAGTCTGAGATTACCATCATCCAGAAGTATTTATCTCTTTGTATAAGCTATCATTTGGAACAAGTTAGGGAGTTTCAATAAACTAAAAACAAACTTCATAATCACCCAGAGGAAACATAAAATAGAATAAATCTTACAACTTATGTAAATTATGTTTGCTGAAAATACTTGACCAGTAAGTGCACTTTCTAAAAGAGACCACATAGAAGTATGAATTTATTAATATTATTGAAACAGGAGGGTCTGTTAGTAAATCATGAGTCTTCAAAGTGCCAACTTCAAGAAAATCTAGATGGGGCAGGGAGGGCTGTCAAAGGATGAAAAAATGTGTACATGTACAACCTTCTCACAGTAAATGTTATCATTATGTACTGCAAACATGTACTAATAAAAAATAAAAATGCAGATCTCAAAAATCCCACCTGAATGTATGCTTTAGCATGATAGAAAATTTGAACAAGCCATTACCTCTCTGTTCTCACATTTTCCAACTTCTAAAAGAAACAAATTGGTTCCTTGGAACTAGAATATTTATATTCATTCTTTTGTGCATATAATGTTTAAACACCAAGTATAAGGTACTATTATAAAAAATACTGAGATGATTAATAAAGTGCTTCTTCCTTCATCTCCCAAACAAGTATACAGTAAAGGCTTAAATAAACGAGACAAGTGGTATGATTTTAGGACTCCAGGAGGGTCAAAACTCTCTAGCAGAGTTCAAGGCTCTAGGGGCTGAGACAAAGAGCTTCTCTGGGCAGCCCATATTTATTAGATTGCCAGACAAAGAGAGGAGATATTGAGGAAAGTGTGGGAACTGAGCAGGACCTTGGGAGTCACTTCAAAGACTTCTCCAAGTAGTAAATCATGTCAATTTAGGAGAACTGTCTTATCTCCATGATGACATGTATGGTAGGAGTGAGACAGCAGGAGTGAGATGCCTGCAGCTGCAGTCTCTATTTACTTACTTGGAGTTGGAGCAAAATGTCCTCAGCTGTGGCCTTATGTTGCTCTTTGAGGTGTCTCTGGCATCACGGGCCACTACAGGTCTCAGCCAGGACCAGTGATTCATAAAGGTTCACTTACTATGAATCTTCTACCCATCTCCAGACAAGGGACTTAAGCCTGGGACAGACTCAGAAACAATTGGTTAATTTTAAATCCTGCTCAGAGTCGCTTTGTAGTGGTCTCCAACAGACAATATAACTTTTGACCTGGGCTCTGAGTAAGGATGGAGTTCAGAGAGACATTGAGGAAGAACGAGGCTGACCTGCAGGGAGGATATTACAGAGTGAATGAGATAGTATAAGGAAGATCATCGGAATGGAGCACATTAACTACCACCTCTCATCATAATATAAGGATATATATTGTTTTCAGGTCCCCAAAGAAGGACAAGATGTTTTGAGATCCATGAATTTAGGGAACTTATTATCTATTCCAGCTATTTATCTCCAAATTCCTATTAATGCAAATTTGAGATTAGGCTAAAAACTTTTCAGTGTCCTTGTAGTTCAATCCGCTTATACAACGAGATGAAGGAGAATAACATTAATTATTTAAGAAATTATTGGCCAGAAGATGTAACTAACAGAATGCACTAAAAATACGGTATGAATGTCATTTTGTACTGATTGTGTGTGTGTTTGTGTGCGTGTGAAAATAATAAGTCAAATTTTTTGCTAATAAGAGTAATAAGGTTCCTATGTTATTTCATTTTTGTCTTTCCATTGCAGATTCCTTATATATTACATGGCAGGAAGTATAGGTAAACTTAGTGATAGAGAGGACATCAAATTAAACAAGAACTTTCCTCATATCTCAGAACCCATCCTCAGTAAAAGTAAGTAATTACATCATTTCCTTACTTTTTAAAGTTAATTTTCATCTTTTTAATTATAGGATATAAGTTAGATAAGTAGTAGATCCTATTGATTGTGTCATTTCTATTAGAAGCAACACATGAGGTTGAAATATAAAGGAGAATAAGAGACATATTTTTTTGGCTCTTGAATTGTTTACAGTTTAGGACAATCTCCTAAATCTACTCACTCTTCAGCCAAGTAATAGTACCATAAATTTTTTTCTTTATAGTCATAGTGCCTACCTAAGAATTTTGTCTATTATAGTGAGTTGCTGAGGACAATACCAAGTTTAACTTCATAGACATTACCAACTTTGTTCAGATGACCTATATAAGCAAACAAACAAAATAAGACACTAAAGGAGCTTAGAAAATCTATCTGAAGTAAAGTTTTTGAAGAGTAAATAATTATCTTTCCAAAGCTGGCCATGATTCTGAGGGAATCTCTCCAGATAAACCTTGGCTCCAGAATTCTCAGTACTAAATTACATTAGACTCATTGAGGAAGTGTTCAAGAAATTTAATGCCTCAGTTCTTCCAATCCAAAATCACAAAAATAAGATTTTCTGGGACTGGTAACTGAGATTTGACCTTTTTACACAGTTCTCTGAGTGATCATAAGGGCTAGTAAACATTTCTAACCCAAAAAATCACATTATGGCCAGCAGAAGAATAACTTTTTAAAAACTTTTTCTAGCTTAGAAGTCAAATCATTAATTGAGGTATAATAATGGGAGTAAATCCTTGTGTGAACAATAAATCAATAGCTCATAAAGATATATTTCCTTTTTAATAATTATCCATAACATTCTACATAACAAAAATGATATATCTCATATATGTTTAAACATGTAGTTAATCTGGTTTTCATTTGTGTTGGCTTTATTTTGAGGGAGAATGTCTACCCCACAACAGCCCAAAGATTTTTGTTTTTGAGACAGGGTCTCACTACATAGCCCAAACTGACCTTGAACTCACTATGGAGCCCAGCCTGGCCTCAGATTCACAGTGATGCTTCTGCCTCAGCTTTCCAAGCACTAGAATTACAGCCATGTGTTACCACACCAACACAGTCCAAAGATTTTTAAAACAAATATTTGCAGTTAACCAGACATCTACCCCCAAATACTCTACTTATTTCAACCAATCTTTTATGAAACACAATTCCAGCTTAGCATAACCTGTTGGGCTTTATTATAACTGGATTTAACCCAGTATTTTGTCAGAATCAAACTATAAAGATATGTATCTATTTCATGAAGATACTCAAAACATCATTAGGTAGGAAAAATGGGGCATCTCAGTCCATCTCATCCACTCAGTAGATCTGAGTGAGCAATGTTTGTGGAAAAAAGGGGAAATTTCAGTGTGGAAACCAGGAAATGAAAGTCTGACATGGAAACAAAGGCAAAGAGAAGCCACCCAGCCTTTTAGACTATCAGTTGATAATCTAAGCTATCGAGGTAGTTGGCCAGGTTCCCCAAACTACCAAAAGGCATCGTTATGGAGAGTGAACAGAAAAAACTAACACCAAAGGGCAAAAGAGTGTGTAAAATAAGGATATGAGATGGATCGGCGAAGCAGGGAGTATAAACAGTTCATTTAAAAAATGATTGCCTTACAAGAGAAAAGTTAGCTAAGGGAGGCTGGGGTGAGAGAAGACAACTCAGGTGAATCTCAGCTTTCTGGCTGAGTAGATGCAGATGCACGATAAAGCCTTTACTGAGATGCAAGAGTACAGCAAACTCTTAGGAGAGCCGAAAGCAAATCCATACTGGGAAGGATGCAGGACGGAAAGTCAGCATCTCTGTCTGGCATTAGAAGTTTGGATGAACCAGGGAACTAAGAATTCCCCTGGGATCCTTGGTTGATTGCAGGCGAAATTGGTCTCAAGGAAGCTGCTGAATGCACTGCTCTAAAATTAGTTAAAAATAAGACATCCACATCTTTGAAAATCACTTCATTGGGTAAGAACTGGCAAAGAGGAAATAATTCTGCTTTGTTCACATTTAGTTTTGAGTTTCTGGTAAAAAATCAAAGATGGGGAGCAGGAAAGTTTTCAAGCAAGGAACAGGAGCAGGATGTGGCTACCTATTCATTTAACAAATGTGGGTGAAGCACCAGGGTGTGCCAGATAGCAACTGTATCACCAGAGACAATGTGGTGATTCCTGCCATTGAGAGCTGAGGACGAAGGTGTAGAAAGTTAAATGGCCTTGAGTTAGCTCTCTGGGTATCTCTCTCCTGGAGGTATTGCTCCTGCTTCCTGCACCTCCGCCATACCCCATATTTCTCCTTACTTTCATGTAACCTGTCCTTCGATGACTTTTCTCCTCTGTTTCCAGATGTCCAATAAGGTCAACTGGTTACAAAGCCAAAATGGAGTATGCAAAGTTGATGTTTATTCACCAGGAGAGGGCCAGGCCCAGGACTGGAAAACGGTAAGGGTAAACCTCTTATTTGAGACAAGATCTCACTGTGTAGCTCAGGCCCACCTTGAACTTGCAGCCCAGGCTAAGCTCAAACTCACAATACTCCTCCGTCGGTCTGGTGGATGCTGGGGTTAGAGGCGTACATCTCCATACGTGACTGAGCATAACATGACCATGAATGCCAGGGTAGGGGTACGTAAACTGTCGTCAAGAAGAATCTTGCTCTCTGTACTGCTACCACCCACTTCTTATATTTTAAGGTGAGATTTTCAGTGGACAAAAAATGACCACCCATCCAACAAACATTTCCCAGTTTTCTCCAACAAATTCTGTGTTTTGGGGGAAAATGCTTTTTATATGGTACTTTTCAGGAGAACTGTGCTATAATTAATGAAAAAAGTATATATTATAGTTGCAAATTTTTGTTCAGTTTTCAAACAGAAATCAGTTGTAAATGTCTGAAAGGCTCATAAAAAACATTCTCTGAAATGTAGGTTGCCTTAAAATTCTGAGAACAATAAACCTCTCTTCTTAGTAAATGTTGTCACTCCACTGTTACCATTCAAAATTTATTAAATGCTTAATATCTGGCATTGTATCAGCCAAAGCATAGTCAGAATATAGAATATCGACACCACATCAGTCATTTTATGTTAAAAACTGTTTACTAGTAAAAGATAATTAACTACTAAAAGACATTAAAAGAAGTTTTAAGAGTTCCAGAAATAGTACATGCAGAGAGAAGCTCCTCTCTTCTAAGACAAAAAGAACAAGAAACTAAGAGCTTACAAGGCTCCCTCTCCCTAAGCCAAGACTGCTGCTGGTCTCTTTGGACGTCAAGTGGCTGCAGATGGAAGCTTGTCAGAAGGTGTAAACAAGCCATTACAGAAGCCCTATCCTGGTGTGATCCTGCAGGGCTCTCTGGAGGAGTGCACTGTTTTGACAAAACCAACTACTTAGAGAAGTATTTAAAGGCCCCAATCCCAGATAGAATCATAAAGCAAGGCAAAAAGTGTGAATTTGGAGAGAGAGGTGTATTGTTCACTTTCCCATCACTGGGACAAAATACTAACATCCATAATATACAGGAAATATGTTTATTTGAGCTCTGACAGTCAGTTTATAGTTGACTGATTCCAGTACAAGAAATGGCAAGGTGGATTAGCCTGGCACAGGAAAGCTGCTCAACCCATTATGGGCAAGAAGAGAAGGGCAGGGAAAGGAGAATCAAGGATAAACCCTTCCAGGTCATACTGTCAGTGTCTGTCTTTTCTGACTGGGCCCCACCTCCCAACAGCACCCATGAACTCATCAGTGGACTAATTCACTGATGAGCCTAGTGTTCCAGTAATCCAATCACCTTCCAGTTCCCTATCTTGGAACATATGAGGCTTTCAAAGAACATTCTAGCTCTAAATCATAACAGGCAGTAAATTAGCACAGACATCATGCCAGTAGTAGAGTCAGGAACAACAATAAGCTAGAAATACCTCTCTTTTTAAAGCTCTCATTATCTAATGGAATCACTACTGTAATCCTTACCCTTAACATTAACATCCATTAAGCACATGTGTAAATAGGTTATGCACCCCATCTTCTATTTGTTCCTAACCTATTTTCTATCTATAGGAACCTAAAAGAGAAAACACTAACAAATGTACATAAAATGTTAAGACATATAGGTAGTAAATACCAAATTGTAGCACAAGAACCAACCCAAACTCATTCTCTTTGATATTCTATTGGCAGACCACTCAAATAGATTTCCTGTTATCTCTTGCCCAACAATAGATGTATAAATCATTAATCCATCCAAGAGATGATTCAGGCAATAAGCCAGGATTCTAATCACTGCTGCCACCGATGATTATTGGCCATGAATGGGCCAAAATGAAAACCAGGAACAAAATTAGTAGAAAAGAAAACTAAAACAAGAGCATCTTTGATGTCCTCTTATCACTCTGGGAGCCAAGAAAAAGGCTTCTAGTGCACCTCTCTTGAGATGCCATTTACCTTTATTAGGTGAGTCTGTTGGGCATCTTGCTGGAAGACTTCCAAATCTATCAAAAGATCATTTTCAGAGGAAGATAAGCTAATGACTTTCAAATGTTATAAAGGTAAACACATGGTAAAGATTTTGTGTGATTCACTAACAAGAAACTTGTGAGGTTCAAAAACATAAATCAGAAATAGTGTGCTGTATGTGCATGGGGAGGCACAGGTGACTTTTTTCCACTGTGGGAGGAAATCAGTCAAACCTCCTCTTTCATGTTTATAAAAATCATATATTATAGACTTGTTGTCAATTAAGAGTTTACAGGGTTGTAAAGAGCATCAAAAGAATGGCAGTCAGGTAGTGGGAAAGGGTGTACCGCAGACAATGTATAATTTCCACTGGAGCCATCATTTCTACTCTAGTAGCTATTATGCATATTATGGGGACCATTTGGAGGACTTGAAAATCAAGAACTTGCCTTTAACTGCACTGGTTTTAGAGGCAGAACTGGATTTGATTATGAACCCCCGTCACATACCATCTGTGAGATGCTAGCCATATTCTCTAGTTTCTCTAAGCTTCTGTTTTCCTACCAGTGAAATCAGAAGAGCAAAACTTACCTTACAAGGTGAATCTGAGGATTAAATAGAATAATTGTATATAAAGTACTTAATGCAGTTCTTAGCAAACTTTACAAGTATTATACAAATAATAGCTGGTAAACTTTAGTTTAGTGATAAACTTTATTTTGGAGGTATACTAGTATAAAAACAGTAAGATATTCTTTAAGTCCTCATAGCCTCTCTCTCTCTCTCTCTCTCTCTCTCTCTCTCTCTCTCTCTCTCTCTCCCTCTCTCCTTTTTTAGAGACAGGGTCCCACCATGTAGTTCACATAGGCCTTGAACTCATAGCAATCTTCCTGGCTCAATCTCCCAAGTGCTGGGATTACAGGTATCCACCACTGTGCCCAACCTCATTTGTAAATAAACATATGAAGTCCAATGATTACAAGGTTCTTCACATTTGATAAGTAAATGGGACATTTTATTGTTATTAGTAACACTATTTTACCCTGTGTCATGAAGAATTTTTTCATGTATACATTATAATATGTACACACACAAATATGTGCATATGCTCATTACAACTAGTAACCATCTCACAGCTCAAAACCAGTGAATTGTTCACAGATATTAACTCTTCAGCTGTAAATCAGGCTGTTGACTTAATTGATGTTTTCTACTCCATTGGAAGCCATTTAGTATATTGTGTTTTTGTATCCTGACAGATGATTAATTATGCACAATTTTTCCATTTTGGGGGGAAATTTATACTCATAAGAAACGTGAACAAAAACAAATTAAGCCTTATGAAGTATCAATTAATGTCAATACAAAAAATACCTATTGATTCTGTTCAAATGTCAACTCTTCTATTGGACTGGCGATATCAGAGTTTAAAGATGCATGTAGCTAGAGGCCATGTGTGTAGTAGCAGAGAATGTGGGCTCTGGATTAGAATTCCTGCTGCATCAACAATTGCCTGTATAACTTCAAATGAGTGGCTAAGTAACCTCGCAGTTCTTCTTTCCTCCCTGTAAAATGGAGATAATAAACTAACATTATTGCGAGAATAACATTAAATGGGATAGTAGTCTTCAAATACTTGAAACAGTGCCTTGTACCTGGTAAGCATCCAATAAATGGAAGTTACTTTTACTACAATGGTGGAGGAAGCCTGAGAGTGGTAGCAATTTTAGTAACAGGCCCTTCAAGTTATTTTGCAGATCCCACGGGAGCTTTACTTTGTTATAGTCAGATGAAACCTTGTCTGTTTTTAAGGAAGCCCCAACAGATCCTGTCAGAGTGCTCAGCTGGCTCCGCAGAGACCTGGAAAAGAGCACAGCAGAGTTCCAAGATGCTAAGTTCAAACCTGGAGAATCATCATTTGGTGAAGAACTGGCCAACCCTGGTGACCCACGCAAAGGTTTCTCTGTAGACTATTACAATAACACCACCAAGGGCAGTCCAGGAAGATTGCACTTTGAGATTACTCACAAAGAGTCTCCTTCCCAGGCTGGTAACAAGAGTTCAGTAGACGAAGTGTCCTTCTATGCAAACTGCATCACAAATCTAGTCATAGCCATGGCCCGCAAAGAGATTGAGAAGAATGATGACACTGTAAAAAAAAGTGTCCAACAGTCATTGTATATGGGGGATGAACCCACATCCCAGAAAAGCTTGAGCACAGTAGCATCTGAGTTGGTGAATGCAACTGTCTCTGCATGTGTCAAGAACACTGAGACTGACAAAGCTTCTGGCTCTGGAGACAAAAACGCTGACACCGACAAAGCTCCCGGTTCTGGAGACAAATCCCCAAGTATGAAATACAAAAGCACTTTGAAGATCAAGGAAAGCAAGAGTCCAGGTGACAAGCCTGCTTCTAAGAAGTCTGTATTCTATCAGGAATTGTTTGAATCTCGAAATTCAGGAGGTGCCAAAGAGGGTGGGAGGTCTTTACCTGCAGAGAAAAAGATGTCCAAAGGGAAGGAAAGGGCTGATGACTTCACAGGTTCTGTTAGTCAAGGGATCATGACCTACGCCAATAGTGTAGTATCTGACATGATGGTCTCCATCATGAAGACACTGAAGATCCAAGTGAAGGACTCAACCATTGCCAGCATCCTACTGAAGAGAGTCCTGATCAAGCACGCAAAGGAGGTTGTCTCAGATCTCATTGATTCCTTCATGACGAACCTGCACAATGTCACAGGAACCCTCATGACTGACTCAGACTTCCTCTGTGCTGTGAAAAGAAGTCTCTTCTCTCAAGGAAGCCAAAAGGCCACAGATATCATGGACGCCATGCTAGGAAAACTCTACAATATGATGTTTGCCAACAAATACCCTGAGACTATCAGGAGAGCCAAGGATAAATCTGAGAGTTATTCCCTAATCTCCATGAAAGGAATGGGTGACCCCAAGTACCGGAACATGAACTTTTTAATGAAATCTGAAGCTAAATTGAAAGAAAAGATGTATTCCACATGCAAACCACAGAAAGAGAAGACATGCATTGAAACTGTAGGTGAACACATCATCAAAGAGGGATTGAACATGTGGCATAAAAATCACCAGAAAGATTGTAAATCTCCATGTCCTCAGCGTGCAAAATCTGCAACTCCTAATGAACAGGATAGCCCTGTGTCAGACAGTCCCTTGGAAGATCGGGAAACCTGCAACCTCAGCCCTTCTCTGTGCCACCCAGAAGATGTTGAGAATTTCATGTGTAGTTCAGACTCCTGGGCCAAGGACCTGATTGTATCTGCCCTACTTCTCATTCAATATCATCTGGCCCAGGGAGGAAAAATGGATCCACAGAGCTTCCTCGAAGCTGCTACCACCACCAGCCACCCCGCTAACAAGCTTTCTGCAGCTCCCAATGAGTCTAAGTATCCTCATAAGGTTTGTGACCAGGAACAAACCGGAAAGAAGGATCTCATGAGTGTTTTTTTCAATTTCATCCGGAATTTACTTAGTGAGACCATTTTTAAGAGTGACAATTGCCCTGAATCCAAGGTGCTTATCAAGGAAGAAAGTGTCAACCTGTGTGAAAGACCTGTGACTCCTTGTTCTACCAAGCTATGTGAAGACACTGAGACTGGCAGTCCCTTCTCTGAACTGACCAAGATGGTCGCCAGCCAGGTAGATGGTAACATGAGCAGGCAGATGGTAGAACAGCTCATGGACTCTGTGATGAAGTTGTGTGTCATCATTGCCAAGTCTTGTGACCCTTCATTGACAGAACTGGGAGATGATAAGTGTGGAGATGCCAGTCGGCCAAACTCAGCCCTCCCAGATAGTTTATTTGAGTGCTTACCCGTCAAGGGCACAGGGACAGCAGAAGCTCTCCTGCAGAACGCCTATCAAAATATCCACAATGAGCTAAGGTGTCTTTCAGGACAGCTGCTGGAAGGATGTGCAGCCCCCAAGGTGATCGTCAGCAACCACAACCTAACGGACACAGTGCAAAACAAGCAGCTGCAAGCCGTCCTCCAGTGGGTAGCTGCCTCTGAACTCAATGTTCCTGTTTTGTACTTTGCTGGTGATGATGAAGAAATCCAGAAGAAGGTAAGAAAGAAAGGTCAGAGGAATTTGGAAAGTGTTCTTAACGACTAATTTGGATTTGTGTACTGTTTGCTTTCTGAATGGGAATATAACTACAGGAAGGGTTAAATGAGAACAGTAAAAATTTGAAGATCATTCCTCTTGGCAGAGGTAATGGATAAAGTAAAATTAGATCTTGCCCAATCAGAGACATATCTAAGGAAAAAGAAAGGGTAAGTGATATTTGTTTTATGCATTTATTGGTGGGAGTGTACAAATAAGGAACTTCCAAGAGATTTGGTGACAGAATCAGATACACTCTGGGCTTCAGAATGATTTTTTGGGTAGAATAGAATTGCCTGGAGTAAAGTGGAGTTTTTGAAAAGTATCACTAGGAAGAGTTAAAGAAAGATAAACTGGGTTTGATTTATGGCCGTTTCACACTTGTCACTAATCTCTGAAGCTGTTGTCTAGATTGTGCTGGGGATTTGTAGAAATTCAATAAATAACACTTCTCTTAAGTTCCAAATCAGTTTAGAAGTAAGACTAAAGACAGATGGGAGACTGACCTATCACCACTGTTAATGATGAAGGTAAGTGTACTCCAAGCTCTCAAATCCCCACCAAAGTCTCCCACTGAGTCTTCAGGACTGATCACACAGCGGATACTCAGTCTGGAGAGCATGCGCAAGCACTCAGATTGCTGCTGCAGGGTAGAGTGAAGACATTGAAAGAGTGAGACAGTATGTACACACACACCCAACTTTGGGTTATCTCTTGATTGTGAGAAGTAGAACAATGACTTGTATCAACTTTTTAGAAAAATTAATCTTTGGAGATGGGGGTGTAGCTTAGCAATAGAGTATTTGCTTGCATGTATGAGTCCCTGGGCTTGATCTGTAGCTTAAAAAAGAAAGAAATGAAGGAAAGAGGGAAGGAAGGAAGGAAGGAAGGAAGGAAGGAAGGAAGGAAGGAAAGAAGGAAGGAAGGAAGGAAGGAAGGAAGGAAGGAAGGAAGGAAAAAAGTAAGTGAAAAAGGAAGAAGGGAGAAAGAGAAGGAGAGAAGGCCAAAGGGGAGGGAGAAAGACTTCATCCACATAGAAATCAGAAGCTATGGAGGAGGAGAGCTTCTCTTTTTAGTAAGTACTAGTCACAATCCTTGTCACTGCGTTATTGGGTTTATCTGATAACTGAGAAGACATAGATTATTTAATGCCCTGATTAGGCTGTATTGTGCTGAAACAAGATTTCAGTCTTAGCAACAATCTCAGTTTTAGCAAGACTACTGATCTACTCAAAGTGTCATCTGGGGTCACCATTGTTGGAACTCATTAGAAGTGCACAATCTGAGGCTTAGCTCCAAACCTGCTGGGTCAGACTCTTCGTTTGGCAAAGTACCTAGTTGATGTGTGTGCCTATTCAAGTGTGGGCTGGATAGGAGTCCCCAGCTCTGTTGAGAACTGGGTGTGCACAACTAGGGGTGAGTGGCAGACAGGTCAGCAAAGCTTCATCAGCATTTATAGCCACTCCATTGCCCAAATCAACACCTGAGCTCCACCTCCTATTAGATCAACAGTGACATTAGATTCTCATAGGAGCACAACCTTTTCATGAACTGTGCATGTTCAGGATCTAGATTGAGGACTCCTTTAACCCTTCCAGAAATCCACCCCACTCTACCACCCCTGTCTGTGGAAATGTTTTCCTCAAAACTGGTCCCTCGGGTCATAAAATTGGGGTCTGCTTGGCTAGACGGCAGCTGGCTTCAATATCAGATAATGCCCCTAAAGGTCCTTAGCAAAATCTATTTCCTTGTCAGATTTTCACTCTGTAAAATGCACAATTGTTCTGATATTAGCAAGCTGCAGTGAGAGAGAGAAGAAGATACAGTCCAGTCAAAACTTCAGACTATTGAAAAAAAAAAAAACTAACAGAGCCTTCATGAGTACTTTTCATGAGTGAAAAGGGTATTGGTTCTGTAGTCATGTTTTACATCAAGCCTATAATATGTATCATATATTTCCAGTTTTAGATTACTTTTAATTAGACTGTTTGTACTATGTCTGTCTAAAATGAGACTAACAGAATAGCAATCTACAATTCTGCCATTCAAGAGATAGTCATTCATTATTTTAAGAAAGGAAAAGAGTGGAAAGGCAGAGCAGCAGTATAAACTTCATGTAAACAATAGATTTGCATTGAGTGTTAGTATTAAGAGCAATTAGCTCCTAAATTCCAAAATACTCCCTGACAGTGACCGTTAGGGATAAAGGATTAATGTAAACAAATATTCTCATGCTGATCCAGCTGATTGCCCCTAGAGGCACTGGGAAGCCATGAGCCCACTTGCTTTAAATGACCTCCTTTATTTTTGAATAGGATGTGCACGTGCAGGTGTCAGTATTCAAAAGTACAGAAGGGTGCACAGTGAAAGGGCATTTCCTCATGTGAATCCCCATCTATCCCCTCTTAAGAGAGAGAACCTGTTCTAGTCTCCTTTTGTTTTTGGCATTTAGCCCATTCAGTACATTTTGAATGTTTTGTTTTTTATTTGTTTTTAGTTCCACATTTCCTGTTTGTTTAAAAAAAAAACTTTTTTGGAGACTTTATCTACTTGTTTTAGGGGTGTCCTTAGGAGCTTTAATTTCTCACATGGCAATTTCTCCTTCTGAAAAAGATCGTGATATCTGGCCCATTTACTTGACCTTTGACTCTTACAAAGAGCAGAATACACAAAATAAAAACTTGGTTCCTTGAGATAGTGTGATGCTACCTGCTAGAACAGTCATTTTGACTCTTTTTGTCACATTTGTACTAGAAACAGGGCTAAGTTTAGAATTCAAAGACCTACATTGGCACTTTGGCTAAGAATGACCAGCAGTGCTGTTGTGACAAGTTCTGTCACCTCTCTGGACCGTATCTCCATAAGGTCGAATTGCTGACTAAGGGGCCTTCCTGATCTGATAATCTAGCGTCAGTGGTCTATGGAATTTGGAAAGCAGCATCCATAAGTCCTTGTTGGTCTCAGGACAACAGTGGAGACTGTTTTATGATGTTAGTGTGAGTTTAGATCCTTAGAATTCTTAGAAACCATTGACACACTGGGAAAGCATCACCTTAGAGAGGAAAGATAGGAGGATTTGAATCTTAATGAGAAATCACATTTTCCATACCATGGGCAGGTGGTTATTAATACCTCTTCTTTGAATTCAGAGTAATGTCACCAACTTCCTTCTGTCAAGCAGGCTGGCAAAGGGAGTCTCCTCAACCTCTAACTCTAGTCTCTCCTGCTGCCGATTCCAAAGTCTGCTAGCCTTTGGGTCTAGCCATGACGGTTTCTTTGTGGCCTTCCCTGGGATATGATGCCCTCCATGACCCTTCTCTCTGCTCCCCACAGCTACTCCAGCTCTCCGCTGCCGCTGTAGAAAAGGGACGCAGCGTGGGGGAAGTTCTGCAGTTGGTGCTGCGCTACGAGAAGGAGCGACAACTGGACGAGGCTGTGGGAAATGTCACACGGCTGCAGCTCCTGGACTGGCTGATGTTGAACCTGTGACGGTGGCCCTCTCAGAGCAACTGCTGCTCCTGTGTGGGCCCAGCCCTGGCTGCCCTCCCACCATAGCTGTCCTCAAGTCCTCTCAGAGCTCTTATGCTACCCTCATACCACTCTCGTTAAAGACGTATCATCTTTGAGTCACTGAATTTTGAAGATTTTTTCTGTCCATGTGAGCAAGGACATAAAATTAAAAATTACAATTAAAGGCTCCATGTGTTTGGTTTCCTTGGGATCCAACGGGATATTAAGGTTAAAGAATGAAAATAACATCACATAAATGGCGGAGGCAAAATGGTGCTGGACCGAGAGGTGTTGACAAAGGCCACTCCATGCCTGTCCTTCATGCGTTCCCCATCAGTACACCACAAGTTCTGGCTCCCCTCCTTTAAACTGCAGCCTCAAAATAAGCCACGATTTATCAAGAATCCATTTTCCTTCTATAACCACGAAGATCAAAAAGTAGTTTTGTATCCAGTCACAGTGCTGAGAACTTGTCTCTCCACTCTACTATTTACATTTAGCTGAAGACAGTTTCAAAAATGTGTCTGAGGCCTGGAATGTGGCTCAGTGGTGGAGCACATGCCTCATATCTGCAGGACCTTGGGTTCCACCCCTAGCACCACAGAAGGAAAACAAACAAAAATAAATTCCCAGGACCATTCTGTGGCTTTCTGGCTGTTGAATCTGGCACATGTTACCTGCTACGACACTGCATTTCTTAAAGTCCATGTCATTCCATTTATGTAACATTTTTCATCCTTACATTGTCTATGGAATTTTGTATTTTTTTTTTTTTTTGGTGCCAGGGATCAAACTCACAACCTCACATTTGCCAAGCAGGCACTTATACCACTGAGCTAAACCCCCAGCCTGAAATGTTGTATTCTGGATCCTGTTTACCTTCTAGAAACTTCCTCCTCCTCTGGCTAAGGTATCTCTTGAAGAAACTGTGCTCTGTCCACTCCTTATATATTTATCTTTGCTGGGATTTTCTCTTGCCTGTAAGGTGATTATTTCCTCTTCCCTGGGCAATCTCATCCAAATCCATAGCTTCAATTACCTGGTGTCACCTTTTGTGGAATATTATGCAACAATTAAAATGGAAACTATGAAACCATGTATTAAAAATGAGAAGGAGCATATTGCCCCTTGTGATCTTCTCTGAATTCCTAGATTCTGCTTTGCCGGAAACCACATCTTCTACTCCTGTTTCTCAATAATATAAACTAATAAATATGCCTCATTATTTAAAGTAAACAATTCAGCTTCTATCATTTTCAAACAAGAACCCTTGTTGATGTAAGTTGACAGGCCTGGGCAAGAAAAAAATGCAACTACCAATGCCTTAACATTGAATCCCTAAAAACATTCCCAGCGTACATTCACACCTAAAAAATGAGTTCAGTGATGAGGACATCCACCCCACCCTTCGTAAGAGGAAATGTCAACTGTCTGTGTGAATAGTTTTTTTTGAAACATTTATGCATAAAAAATGTGAAATATTGTACAATGTAAGAGGTGTCTCTAACGAATCAGTGGAAAGGAACAGGATCTGCCTTCAGCAACAGTCACATAATAGGTGGCAGAGTCTTTATGTTTTGGGAAGAAGAGTTTTTGCTGCTTTGTTCTCTGGAAGTCATGGGTGCCTCTTGTCCATCAGTGACGTCTGGCTGCTTGTGAGCTTCTACTATAGGAGGCAGCTGGACAGTGTCAGTGATGTGTGGGACAGACGCCTGCTGCTGAGCACTGGGATTCACAGCATGCTTAGCAACACCATCCTGCATTTTGTCTACAGTGTCTTTGGTGATACCACCTGCCAAAGGAGAGAGAAGCCAGAAGAGATAAGCATTCCTTATGAATTAGTGTATGTTCTAACTTTCCATTAAGCTGTAAACCACTTTGAGGAAATTGTGGTTTTGATGCTGTAAAAGTAGCTCATAGAAAGCGTACTTCACATGTGAGGTATTATTCTAAGCATTTACCATTTCCTAATTTACTCAATGCTTTCGGCAACCAAACAGAATTCTTATTTTTATTCTCATTCTCATAAGAGCCCACACCTGGTATGTTCTGGTCAGAATTTAATCCCAGGTACCTTGACTCCATGACCTGTACTGTGGTATACTGCATATTAAATATTTGTGTAATATCACAGTTTTTCATTGACAGTGACTCTATAGGTAATTATAGGGCACAAAAGAGTGGGCTCAGTGAGTAGCAGGGAGGGAGTTGAAAAGCAAATAGAGTACATGAGAAGAATGGAGAGTCCTAACCATAAGGGTCAAAAAGCAAAAATCCAGATAAAGCCAAGTTTCCCAAAAGAGAAAAATCCCTACAATAAGAAATGTCAGGCCAGTCATGGTATAGCCAGAAACAAATCTCTAAGGCTAATTTCAGAGAAATTGTCAAAATCCTCCAGAAGTGCCTGGCTCCTGGGACTATAGCAGTAGCACTGGCTGTTTGAGGAATGTACCTTTTTTACTTTTAGTAGAGGGATGATGCCTTTGAACCTTGTTTTTGCTTGGCTCGAGGAAAGTAGATTTCCTCAAGGTCTGGGGCCTGGTCCGTGGTTTGAGATTCCGTGCATCATGAATCCAAGCATGCTTGAGGGCTTGGTCAGGGGTCATGCGAAGTGAAGGTTCCCATCTGCACACCAAACGAAGCTCAGAATGGGTTATTATTCTACCTCCCTTTTTAATGTTACAATGCTTGTTTAGTTCAATGGAATTTTTTTTAAAATTTAAGATATGTCATATCTCAAAAGACATCATTGAGGAAGAATACAGCATACTATCAAAGTAACTGAAACCAACTATTGGAAATAATCTTTTTAGAAAATTTGTGTAATTCAGGAATATATTCAAATCTAAATTTTGTTAGAATCCCTAGAAACAAACATTATTTTTAAAAAAGCAACCTATAGGATTTAGGATTTCCTAAGAAGATAAAAATAAATTCTCAGACTATGGGATTTGGGTCACCAAATACATCACAAAGAAAATTATAGAATTTGAGTATGCTGCATTAAGTTTTGTAAGGTAATTAGATATAATTTAGGCAAACTTCTAACAATAGCAAAGCACATTTTTTTTTTTTGGTATTAGGGGATTGAACTTGTGACTTAGCACTTGCCAGGAAGGTGCTTATGCTGCTGAGCTAAACCCCCAGCCCCCAACAAAGCAGCACATTTGATAAGCACCCAACATAGAATCATCCTGCCATTGTCAATTAATATTGTGACAAGGCTAACATATCCAACAATTTCAGTTTTGAAAATTTAGATTCTTTCAATATTCATTTATTTTCATTTTTATTGAGTCAACGTTGACCACAGAAACTTTTACTAGGTTTTTATTCTACTCATTACTGTCACACAAAATAAAATGACTAATTCTTCTTTTATGTCAGGTTTTCAAAAACTGTCTGAAAATGATTATATCACTACTATTGATTATATGATATGGTTTCTACCATTTGGCCATCTTCTAAAATAGGAAATTCAATCTGTAGTCCCTCATGCTGGGAATAGCTCCCAACTTCAGGGAGACAGCATAAGCATTCTAGATCCACTAAGGTCACAAACAAATCAGAATCCCAGTTCTTTGTCAAATGCACTGCTGTTAAATTACATCTCCCTTCTAGACTTCTAGAGTTACTCTACATAGATTATACATTTAGCCCTATTAGAGTCACCCTTTTGGCTCAAGTTTTAGTTTCTCAAGCAAATGATTTGCTCATTAGCAATATATGGATTAGGTAACAGGTTCCATCGATCTTCTACAAGTTGTAAGTAACCAGTCCTTTGTACTGAAACAGATCGTTCCTTTCTCGTTATTGAGCTATGTTCTGGGGGTTGAGTTTCTGGACAGACACCTGTCTCAGGGGTCAGTTTCTGTCATTGCTAAAACACAGTCATTCTGTAGCCTCAGCACAAGGCTGAGGTTTTTAAACATGGGATACAAGATCCCTCTCTATCTTGATTATTCAGATAATTAAGTAGAATGGCCTCCCGTGGGAATGCTTTTAGCAGTATCTGGTGTTTTACCCTCTGAGTTATTGCCCAAACTTCGTAATACATGAATACCAAAGGAATATTTTGCTGAATTACTCTGTCTCACTGGAAGAAAGAAAAAATATAAAGATGTGGTCTTCTAAAAATGGTAAATAAATATAGAACCCTACAGATGTCCTAAAAACAACCCACTTTATAGAAAAGGAAACAGATCCAGACAGAAGTGGTGCTTTTCTAAATATCACATAGTTAACTTACTTGTACTCAGTGGAGACCGTCTTGCAAAACCTTTTTAATAAAATGGTAGTAAAACAATAGCTAACATTTTCCAAACACCTAAACTGGATACTGCTGGGTGCTTTGTGTGCTGATTTCTTCCTTAATATGACTTGACCTGTAGTACCAGATTCAAAATGTGCATACAGCCTGCAAGATGCTGTGCATAATAATTGATTTAGAGCTCATTCTTCCCTTAGTTCCCTAATGCAAGATGATTTAAACACAAAATTCTAGTGGGATGAGGAGGAGCCCAAAAGCCAATGTGTGTTGGATGTGTAAACATGCAGGCCCTCTTGAAGTGATTGCTTCAGTTCACAAAGCAGAAGACATTAGGACTTGCCTACAGTCTTTCTGCCAAGCAGCTAGAGGTCAAGAAGATAACAAACTCTAATCATATATTCCATTATCCAAGGCAAATCAACCTCTCTGAGCCCAGCCATCATTTCTGCAAAATAGCAGATCATCTACCCAATCATTACATAGTAGGAGAGAGCACTGTCTGATGTGGAAGCAGTTTGGAGACTTTAAAACTCTATCTTTAGTATTACAGACAATACCTTGTTTAATGACTTAACTCTGCCCCTACAAATATGATGCTAATTGAATTGGTTGCTAAGTAAGGAATTGTGCATAATTTGTACGTTACAATATTCAAAACAAAGAAATGATTAAAGAAAACTCCAAATGGATGATTTTGGTTTTATTTGTATAACTCTTACATGCAGTATTGTAATGTACAACAGAACATAAAACTAGAGTACCATACTGTACAATGCAATTAGCAAAAATTACAGTACTGTAAAAGGCATACTCTGCAAATAAAACATATAGTGGCTTTTATCAACAAGATGTACAGAACTGTACAAAAAAAAAAGAATACAGGTTTTAAGTCTGAACAGTTGTTAAATGAGGAATATCCAGCGTTATTTTTATATCCCTTTCCAAGTCTTACATTTACACTAGCAAAAGTATGTGAAAATCTACTACTTAATGGGAAACCCAGAGGCAATAATACCCAACAAACTCACACCAAACACCTTCTGAGGAAGTCCAGGAAGCTGGAGTCACAGGTTTTCAGCACCTTCGTAAGATCCTTGGAATCTGGGTATCTTTTTTTTCCCCTGTTGCTGGTTATATTTTTAGGAAAACCTTTGGAATCTTAGAAATATAACATACTGATTTAGTTCCAGGTGTAAACATTCACTGGTCTCATCACAGCTGTCCACTCAACAATGCTACTTTCTGAAGTGATCTTTGCAAGTCTACTGCTCTGTGCTGTCTCTGCCCCTCCTCCCACCCATCTTCACAGGCACAAACGCACCCACAGACTCAGTCAGCTCAAAATAGCACCCTGCAAATTACCAGGGGAGTGCTACTGACACAGAAAACAAGTTTTCCTATCATTCCACATGTCCCCCACATCAATTTAAATGGTTTAATGGTAACCAACATAAGCTTACAATGACAGAGATGATGGTGAAGATGATGGTGAAGATGATGATGACCATCATGATGATGACATAGATGATAAAACAAATTCAAATATACAAAATGACTCAGAAAAAAGTATATTGTCCCTTCTTGGATTATCTATGCTTTTATCCCTATTTCCGTACTAAAATAAAATGAATATTTGGAACTTCTACAACGTATTTTACAAAGATATTTTTAGAGAATACTTTCAGAGCTTGTGCACAAGCTGTACAAGCAAACTAACCTCATTTCTTCTTTAGTATCATACCAAATTTTGCCGGTCCAAATACTGCTGATTAAACTCCTTGCCAAATGTGGAATTTGTCATTCCTAAAAAGAAACCCCGAAGACAACTCCAAGGATTTCTAGAGGGTGTTTTGTGCATGGCTTTCAGGCTAAGGTCATTCATTTTCACATTCAGATTCTTGAATGCATGTTCACAAACCTGACTGCTTATGGTGACATCTTGTAAGTGTGCACGTAAATGGGGTATGTGTATACACATGCAGGCTTTACACACTGAGCTGAATTCTCACAAAATTCAGTGAAATTTACAAAAGGCACATTCTAGAAGGTACATAATGAAGTTCTGCTATTACTTTTGTAATCACTGTAGTTTTCAGGACCTCCAAAAGCATCTGCTCTTACTAAATTCCTAGAAGATTTCCATAAATGTGTACATGAGATATGTGTGTGAGGGTGTCGGCATAAGTATACAGACAAAAACTGGGCCAGAAGAACTGTGTAAGGCCTATAAACTCATACACATCCCATTTCCCTTTGGAAAGTGGCACCAATGTTCCCACCTTGGTGTAATCAAGCTTACAGCCGTATAAATAGCATAACTCCAGAAGTTGTTTTTGTGTAATTGTTTTTCTCATGCAAGCTTTTCTCACCCCTCTGACCCTCCTCATATCTCATTATTCCCTCCATCTCCGTTCCAGCCAGGCCACCTCAGTATTATATGTCACTCTCCTTGAGGCAACCTTGCTGCGCTGCTAGTTAGGGATATTCACCAGTAGTGGCTAGGGGTTGGTGAGATGTCAGCCAAAATGTAAGAAAAAGAGAGTCAAGAACTGAAGCGGTGAAATGTTTTCCAAACTCACCTTGTCATAAGAATCACAAGGAACTGGTATTAAAAATATGGAATCCTGAATCTCACTTCTAAATAATGATGTCATAGGTCATAAAGGAGTATCATGGAAATTAGTGTCTCTGCCAAATACCCAAATGGTTATTATAATCAGATGTTTAGGGAACAATGAAGGTGATGTGGCTCTTAACAAAATCCTTTCTTAGGTAGGAAATATTGGATGTGGCCTCCAAAACCACAAAACAATCCTAAAGTTTAGTGCTGGTGGTAGATAAGAAGCAGTGTGTGAAGTGGGCATGTGCATGTCTTTGGTATCTTCCCATCAAATGCACTATATTTCATTCCCCCATTCCCAACTTCAGTGCTATCTTATGACATCAGTGTTAAAGGATTAGAATGTGACTTTTCCCCCAAAGTCTTTGTATACCAGGAGGGAGCAGCAATACCTATACTTTACTTCCTCCAAATCCTTAAAAGCCCAAAATGCTTAATTGTGTATGTAAGCATTTGAGTAGAAAAAGTATTTGAAATCAAAAAGACCAGTTCCATTGCTCCATGAGTATTTTATACCAGGGAGTCAACCAGAGTCTCTACATAGCATGTGACTGCTCTAAAGAAAGATGAGTACGTGGGCACTGTTCTAAGAGAGCCAAGACACTGCCCTAGTCAGTGCTAAGGCCCTGCAACTTTGATAGGGCTCAAGATTACAACTTCTTACCAAATAACAAAGAGGATGATAATATAACCTCATACGTCTGAACCAGTGCATACTGAGCAACATGACTGAAACCCTTTGGTCCTAATGACTTTCTCATTCAAATGTTTTAACTTTCCCTATTGATGGGGCCAGTTGTGAGGAGCTATGAAATTGAGCTGGCCTTTAGAAGGCTATTCTCAATTGAAAAGAAGAATGAGAGGGCTAAGAAGACTGGAATTATGACCTCAATGGCTGATCAGAAATGTCATTCCAAATGGCAGAGAGTCGCTATCTATGGATTCCACCTCCTTGTAGCTGGCTTTGCTTCTGCTTAGATAGCCTTCAGGTCATATGGACGTTTCTACTTGGGAACCCCTTAGCTCCCTGTGATTCTTCTAAAGGATTTTGGGCCTGGGTCTTATTTAGTGAGCATAAAGTACTTAGAAGCCCTGTCTCACATTATACCTTGTTATTCCATCTATCCACCTTGCATATATAACTCACATAGAAAGACAGAGGATCATAGAAATCAGAGTTTGGGAATTGTGATGAGATAGGTATCATGGGCTGTGGATGAGGCTGAACCCCACCAATTAAATGGCCCATTCATAATTGACCAGCAAAAACACATTTACAACAAAAATATTTGAACAATCTTTGATCACCCATTTAATACCAGAGCTGCAATAAGCCTGGGACAGTAAGAGTCTGGGGATTAGGAGACAGTTAGCAATAAAGAATAATGTGCCATTAAGGACAAAATACAAATATGGCACATGGTGAGAAAAGGCAAGATGTTTGGGGAGGTAACAAAAATTTCTGTGAGAGGATATAGTTACAGTCTTTTGAGGTTCCAATATTTGCTAACAGATGTTATGAATGGGAACCTGTCACTCTGTTTCTGCCATTCCTCATACTGCCAGACCCTGTTCCTATTGTGACTTCCCCCACCTCGTCTTCATCATACTATTTGGTACCACTTTTCATTACCATTTAAGTTTCTCATCACAGCTTTCTTTTTGGTATGATGCCAAGAAAAAAGCAAAATCACAGAGTTCAGGGTGTGGGAGGCATCATCAAGACCTGAGATGTCTCACTAAGCACAAAAAGAGACCCAGGGACTTACCAAAGAACATCCGTCTCCTGGAAGCCGTCTGGATAAAGTGGGCTGGCGGCAGGCCCAGCACCTTCAACAAATACAATGAGGTTGTTTCACTCTTTGTGGAATCATAAAGTCAGAGGCTATTAAAGCTGGGTGGAATTCTGGCCAATCTCTGCCTTTCACAGTGAAGGACCCAGACCCAAAGCCTGTGTCTTTCAACTCCTGAACCAAGACTGTTTCTATACCCTAAGATTGAATGGAAGCCATTCTATTCTATGCTATGCTATGCTATGCTATGCTATGCTATGCTATGCTATGCTATCCTATCCTATCCTATCCTATCCTATCCTATCCTATTGAGACAAGGTCTTGCTATGCAGTTCAATCTGGCCTTGAACCCACTATGGAGCCCAGGCTGACTTTGAACTCATGGTGATCCTCCTGCCTCAGCTTTCCAAGTGCTGGGACTACAGGCCTGTGCCATCATGCTCAGCAGGCATGTTATTCTAGACAGGCATCAACACTCTCAACAGCAGCCAGATCTCACTGCCAGAACACTCTCATCACATTGAATTAACAATGATATGTCACAGTGCAGAGCACTAAGAAAGGAGGGGAGGTTAAGGAGACAAAAGTCATCAATAGACATCAGACCCTTGTAAGACAAATTTATTCTTGGAAAGAAAAGTGTAGACTTTCTGGGTCACTTTTCTGTGCTGAATTTTGTAGGGTTTCACAGAGATTGAGTGATGTCACCCTCAACTCTGATCCCAGCCACAATCCATACATGACCCTGCTCCTGCTCCTCAACTCCACTGAAGTTGAGAAGATGATAAATCAGTCATGGGACTGCAGGAAACTCAAAATATCCCCTTTGTCCTTGCTATCAGAAGCAGGAGTGGTTCAGGGATACTCCATAAAATATTCCATATTGTCATTATCCAAATTCCCATCTGTTCTGATCCCCTCATTTTCCGGTTCATAGTAGGGAAGCAATGTGCACAAAGACAGAATTGAAGCTCCAGATTAGCATTCATTTCACCATAGCTACCACTTCCTGCCACTTTTGATTAAATGATTTTAAGGCTCTAATGGATTCTATGAAAGAATTGCCTACCTATATTTAATAATCCTCAAGATTATGTGTTACTCTACCTTTATCTTTGAGACAATCTAGAAAATAAAAATTTAACATATATGCATAGATTAGATAGATAGAGGTCTTTATTCATAATCAAAATATCTTTGTTTTACTAAGATATTGGCTAGGATTTGTTTAGAGAATCTTAAAATGAGAATTTTCCAACTTTTTAAAAAGATTGTTCCCCTTTTTATCTAATTTACTTCATAACAAGACTTTTAATTAAAAGAATAATATAACGTTAATTAGCATATATTGAGTCTTGGCAAAACCCTTTAATTGTGAAAAGTCTTCCCAGAAGATTAAAACAGTGAAAAGTCAATGGCTTTAAACTATAGATTTGTTTTACATCAGGTAATTTCCAAGTACTTGTTTTTAACAACATTGTGATCAAGTTGTCAGAGGATAGGTTAGTAAAAATAGTGTCTGGGGACAGATCACCACTTGATTATTAGTTAGAAATCAAAAAGAGTCACAGAATGTGGCAACAGAGCAAGAATAGACTTCCCAGCCCTCTGGATTCACATCCATATGTAGGTCAGCATGTGAGGATGGTCTTGATTCTGAGCTTGTTTGTTCTAGCAAGAATATTTATCAACAGGTACAGGAGTCAACTGGAAAAAGGGAAAACTTCACTCTTCATTTTTTTCAGTGGTGTATGCTCAATGAAATTTCACACTGTACAGCTAACAATTATCCCTATTTGTGCACTAGCTAGCTCTATTTTAATGATTTCATCAGGACAAAAATGTATACCATAAAGCTTATAGTAATAGGAAAAATTTAAAGTTACAGTAATTGCCAAGAGATTTCAAAATAAAACTATATTAAGTTGAAATATAAATTCTGTGGAGGAAGAAAGAGAAAGGTACAACAATAAAAACTGATTCACATAGTTTTTAGATGTACATTTTGGTAGAGGTCAAGTCACTTTTTTTAATTCTTTGGGATATATCGGACTGGTATAATGATTTTGTTTTTAAATGTTACTATTAACAATAAGGGGAAATCCCATACTTTGGAACTATTTAATTTATTATAAAATGTTAGTTCTCAACTCAACAATGTATAAATGGTATATAATTTCTGAAATACTTTTAGGGAACATACAATCAAAGGAAAAACAATAGTATGAAAGCTACTGCCCTTGCTGATTCTGACTCACGCCAGTGTCTGAAGGCCAAAGCCATCCTGGAACAGCTCCCCAAGCCAGCAGCAGCGTCCTGTTTACCTCCATGATGCAGGCCAGCTGTTCCACTTCATTCTCCCCAGGAAACAGAGGGCAGCCTGTGTACAGCTCCGCCATGATGCAGCCCAGGCTCCACATGTCGATGGCCATGTTGTACGGGTGGCCCAGGATCACCTCAGGGGATCTATAGAATCGGCTTTGGATGTAGGTGTACACTGTTGGGGCAAAGGGCAAGACTTGGTATTAGAAAGACCTCTTCCTTTCCAGACTGCTCTAGAGATAACCCGGCAGCTAAGCATGGCTCACAATTTACTTGTTTGCCTCCACCTTCTTAGTGTATAGCTTTGCAGAGCCAACCGCTGTACAGACAGGTTCCACTGAGCCGTTACCCCATGATGTCATCAAACCCTCACACAACCTGACACAATGGAGACATCACTATCCTCATTGTGTTAGTCAGGAACTTCAAGGAAGGTATGTTACTGGGCGATAAACTTAAATCAACCAAGTGTTGTTTTTAAAAAAACATAAAACTAATATAAACTTGGTTTTCCAAACTGTGAGATTGGCTTTGCATATAGACTATTTGTGAAAGTACTCGATTTAGAAAAGGAGGAAGCATGGTGCATTTGGAGATGAGGCGTACAAATATGTCATTCAAATTTAAGGTGTATTGGATTACATTATGCATTATGTGCATTTATTGGATAACATGAAATAACAGAAATCTCCACAAAACCTCACCAGATGATGATCTATAGAAGATAACGCCATAGCGAGCCTAGATTCTATGGAGGAGGAGCCTGAAGCCTTAGAAATACGACATTTTGATTATTTTCACCTAACTTTCATTTGTGATTCCCTGGGAAAGGGGTCCTATAATCACTTCTCTGTTGTTTTAATTGGTCATAATAAGGATATAATCCTATAACTCAAAACAAAATAAAGACTTGCCATGAAGACTTATATACATTCTGCTTGTTCCAAAAATACCAGAGGTACTTTGCAAAGTACACAGAGTATTTTAAAACAGGAACTCATGGCTACCAATATACTGCTTAACCTGTGGCAGGAATTATTTCTTCCAAGGATTGCTTTCAGTTCTTACAATAGCCCACAGAAAAGGCACTATTCTTTTCTCCATTTTAAAAGTGAGGAACGAAAAACATAGAAGAATTCAATGAGTATTAACATCTTTAAAAATTCATTGCAGGGGCTGGAGATTTAGCTCAGTGGCATAAGCACCTGCCTTGCAAGCCGGCAGTCATGAGTTTGATCCTCGGTACCAATAAAAAGGAAAAAGACAAAAAAAAAATTCATTGCAGTAAAATACAATGCCATTAATCACCTTCGAAATATTCTCCCTTGCTTCAAACAATCTTATCACATTGTTATTGTCACTTTTTGAAGCAGTTTAGGTGTTGTCTTTTGTGTCTTTAGTTGTGCTGTCCTAGCTGCTTCAATGTCCTGAATCCACTCAAAATGTTTACCTTTCCTGGTCATTTTGACTTTAAGGAAGAGCCATAAGTCACATGGGGCCAGATCCAAGGAATAAGGGAATGAGGATACAGAACAAGGTTTTTATTTTTTGGAAATTTCCATAAACATTTGATGAATGAGGAATAATCAAAAAATGTTTACATGAAACATTTAACTTTTCGTTACATGAAAAGACACATTGCCTTTAATCCCCCTTCACATATAGTGATATTTTGGTTATCAAACTCAGTTTGTTCCAAATTCATGTTTGAACACTGCAAAGTTCTAGAACTGAACATATTTTTCCCATAAGAAATAATGGCAAACCAGATAATTGGTTCCAATGCCCAAAAATTACTTATGAATTTATTTTTCCAGGACTTCAGCAAATTTTGCAATGATTTCTTTCTTTATCATGGCTCTCACAGTTCTCCTCTTAGCTTTACTACTGGTAGCACTTTTTTTTGGAACCATGGTCACAATATTTTATGCAAATAGATCACAAACAAAAAAGCACATATACGGCTGTTTTAATGGACCAACGCAAACACTGTACATTACTTAGGCAAGAGTGGCTCTTACACTGAAGCATCACCGCTTTGTGTCTGTGATGAGATATGACATGTGATTCATTCTTGGCACATACAAGTTTTTCAAATTGAATTTTCAGTTTAACGGTTGAACCAAGTTAAGAAATGAAACTGACTTTTTTTGAAACTTTGCTGTGAGCAATGGAAAGTTGGAGCTCAGAGTTATTCAATAGCTGAGAGATGGCTGTATTCCTCCCTTCAAAAGCAATTATTCTCGGCTGTATTCCTTTTACTGTAATAACTTCTTAAAACTCTAAATATTCTTCCTAGTTCTCTATAAATGATCACATTTGTTTAGCTAGCAGTGACAGAGCTGGGTTTGAAATTACGTAGTCTATTCCTAGTACCCAGCTTGTACATTGCTTCACGTTTACTACAAAGGTAAGAGAGAAGCCTGGAGAAACATAGACCATGGACTGTCAGAAACTAAGGAAAAAATAATTACAAACTCAAATCTGAGCATACTGGTTGCCCAGGATAAATAGTAACTAAGAAGAAGAGTAAACACATAACTAAGGAGAGTAAACATATAAATTTTGTTGGCTATATGAAATTTCTTATAGGATCCATACATAAAAAATAAAAAAGACTCAGATATTTAGATTTTTAAATTTCTTTAGTTATTACAGTAAAAGATATACTTCCAAGAATGATAAGTGTATTTGAAGCAGGAGGGTGGTATTCTAAGGAACATTAATGCAATGTGTCCTCAAAACTGGCCCTTCAGGATACTTGCTAACATCTATGTGGTCATTTATTCTTCAGCCTCAGGAGGTAGCCTCTGACATCCATGTGCCACCAGAAAGGCTCATCTGAAAGTCCCTGTTGTGTGTGCCCTTAATACAGCTTGTGTAGCTCTCTAACTATTGTACCTATTGAATTATCTGTTTACCTTTTGTCTCTTGATTTAGACTATAAGCCACCCATGACAGAGATAGTCATTTTTTGTTTCTGGCACCCAAAACAGTGAATTACTTATGGCAGGTAACAGATGCTACTTGAAAAATACATGTTCTTAACATCAAATTTCATAGAAACCAAAGGAACAGACTACTAATCAAGTTCAATATAGGTCAATCCAAATCAGAAGAATACAGGATACTTTCTGCATTCTAGCTTGGAAAACGTGCAAAGCCAGGAGTAAACCATGAATTCTAAACTTCTAAAATAGCTGTTTTCTAAATTGCAGACTACTGGGTACTCCTCAGATACTTAGCTCAGCAAATGTAGGTTAAGGCCCTGGAAACTAAAACTTTTCAGAGCCCTGAAGTCATTCTGATGCATGACAATTTGTTTGGAAACCCAAAGCTCAGGGGTCATTTCATATCCACAAAATCAGAGCTCTCACAGTATGTGAACCCAACTTTCTTATTTTATAGATGAAGAAACTTAGACTCAAAGGAATGAAGCATGTTGTTAAAAATAATGCTGGCAATGGTGATGGCAGAGCCCAGGCTAGAACCCAGGTGGCCTTGTGTGCTAAGGGAGAGAAATCACAATAGAACTCAGACAATAGGGTTGGCATGGGGCCTACCTTGCTGGTGTTCATAGCAGCTTGATCCAAAGTCAATAACTTTAACAGACACTTGGCCCTTTTGGTATAGCACTATATTTTCCTACAGAAGAAAGACATATGTCAAGTCTATGAGGCACTTCAGTAGGCACCTACTTTCCTCGGTGCTCACCAAGCTAGGAGGCCCAGTTCAAATAGAGGCACCACCAAGGTTGTTCACAACTTCTACACACTCTCATGTCCTCTGGCTGCCCATCACCTCATGGTCTGTATCTTACCAATACCTACTTCCTACTCACTGGCCTTCAGGGACATTTATGATCCACAGCCTAACAGAGAAACATTGGGTGAAAGGTGCACTAGGATTTCGTCCTCAAATCTGATAATTTATAAAGGGGTGAGTGAAAATTACAGTGAATTTTTACATTTTAAATTTTTTTTAGTTATTACTGTAAAAGATATATGGCCAAGAATAAGTGTATTTGAAGCAGGAGGGGGAGGTATTTTAAAGGGCATTCATGGAAATGTGTCCTTTCCTGGAATACACTTTTAAAATTTACTTATTTAATTTTTAAATTTTTTATTTTAAAGAGAATGAAACAAAACAAATCAGAACAGAACAATGCAAGCAATACAGGACTTCAAAAAAAGTCAATGGAAAATCAACAATGGCTACCATAATGTCTCTCATTTTCTTCAAAATAGTTGTTTATATCATCACACATAATAAAATCAAACAGAACAAAACCAATTAAAAGAAAGAATTACAGGTCTTCAAAACAAGATAATAGGAAATCAATAACGGCTACCACAATGTCTCATTTTCTGCAAATCAACTGTCCATATTATTACATATAATAAAATTAAACAGAACAAAATAAAACTAATCAAAACAGAAGAATGGAAGCAGTATAGGACTTCAAAACAATAGGAAAATAACAGTGGATACCATAATACATCCTATTATCTTCAAAATAGCTGCCCATATCATCAAACTCAGTAAAATCTAACAAAACAAGACAGAATAAAACCAAACCTAAAAAATTATGAAAGTAGGGGCTGGGGATTTAGCTCAGCGGCATAAGCGCCTGCCTTGCAAGTAGACAGTTGTGAGTTCAATCCCTGGTACCAATAAAAAAGAAAAAGACAAAAAAAATTTATGAAAGCAATACAAGAATTCTAAACTAATAGGAAATTAACAGACATTACCACTTTCTCTTTTTAGGCATTTCTTTACCTATCACTTTCATAATATCTGTTGTGATTTTTGGATACCACTAACTCCTTCACTTTTTTATGCTAGCAAGATAACTTGATGTTCACCTATATGAGTTCAAACCATTTCACCCCTGAGCATGATCTCCAGTTGCATCCATTTACCTGCAAGAGCCTTGAGATTATATTACTTTATAGCTGGGTAGCTTTGCATTGTACGAAAACACCATATCTTTCCTATCTATTCTGTGGTTGATGGGCAAGTTACGCTTGCTTTTTTTTTGGTCTCCTGTCATGTGGAACAATTGTTTTCTCTCCTTTGATTTTTCAGTCTAAAAATTTCATTTTGAGTTAAAGGTGTTTCTTGTACACAGTATATTGATGGATCCATTGATGGATTGTTTCTTGACCCACTCTTCCTGTTTCCTTTTATTAGTGAATCGAGGCCATCTACATTAGTGGGTACAACTGGCATGTATTGGTTCATCTCTGCCCTGCCATTCTCCTACTGTTGGCTCTCCACTTTCCTCTTCATTCAATTGCCTGCCCTGTTCAGCAACCCTCCTCTGTTGCTGTTCCTGGAACCATGGTCATCTTTATCTCTCTCTAGAATATTCTTCAGCACTCTCTGGTAGGGTTGATTCATTGGTCATGAATTCCTTCAGTTGTTCTTTATCATGGAAGTATCTTGTTTTTCCATCAATTATGAAAGATAGTTTTCCAGGGTACATCAGTCTGGGTTGGAAGTTGTTTTCTTTCAGGATTTGAAACACTTCACTCCAAACTCTTCTTGACTTGATGGTTTGTGTTGAGAAGTCCGCCATGATTCTGATGGGTCTTCCTTTATAGATGATATGTTTCTTTCTCTAACATCTTTTTATATTCTGTTCTTGAGATGAATTTCTGCAATCTTGATTATTATAGGTCTGGGTGTAGATTTATTTTGGCTATATGTAGTTGGAATTCTGTATGCCTCACTTCTCTGTATACCAGATCCTTTCCCCAGGTTTGGGAAGTTGTCTGCTATTACTTCTGTAAATAGTCTTTATTTCATTTGTATTGACTCCTGCTTCTTCACTGATACCTATCACTCTTAAATTATTTTTCTTTGTGTCATCTTGCAGCTATTGAACTGTCATTTCCTGTTTCCTTGTTATTTTTAAGGGATCTTTCCTTTCATATGAGTTAGCTGCGATCCTGTCTTCAAGATCTGAAACTCTTTCAAGCAGTTTTGCCAACTTTTGATCAACTTAATTTCCTGGATACCTTTTGAATCTGTTTCATGAATTGTAATTCCTTCCTATAGTGTTCATTCAAAATTCCTATCATTTGCCTATGCTCCTCTTTTTTTTCAATCTGTCTTCTTTAGACATGCTGAATAATTCTTTCATTATGTTTGTGATTTCTTCTTTTACCTGAAACATTATTTCTAATCTTATTACTTTATAGTCTCATGAAATTGTTTCTTTACTTCAGTTGCTGTCCTCTCAGAGATTTTAGGTGCATGACTTCCATTTTATTCCATGACTGTCTCTCAGACATGTTTTATGTGGGCTGGAGGTCTGAGATTGCCTTGCTCCTTTGTCTTGACATTCTCCTGGGTTCCTCCCAACAAGCTAGTTGTGGGGGCCCAGCCACTTCCCATGTTGGCTTCCCCTCTACAGTTCAGGAGAATGGGAAAATCACCTGGGTTTCTCTGAACCAAGGTCCTCAGGGAGGTATCAGGGCATGGGCTGGGCTTCTCCAGACCCATACAGCTACACTGAAGCTTCCCTGATGGCCAGAGGCACATGGTGGGAGGACTGCTTCTTCTCTCAGACTGTGTGCCTACACCAGGACTTCCTCAATGGTGGAAGGCACACAAGAGTGTGTTTGTCTGATTCTCCTGGTGGGTACTAAGCCTTCCAATAGCAGAGCAGACACTCAGGGGCGGATCTGGTTGAGTGCCCCTGACTGCACTGGCTGCCCGCACAGAGGCAAGCTTTCCAAAGGCAGCAGCAGTGTGCAGGAGAGGATATGGCTGTGTCTCCCTGCTTGTGCTGGTGCCCACAGGAAGTAAGCCATCTGATGGCCCATGTTTAAAATTTAAACACCACATTTTCTATCACCCCTCACTGATCAAATGTTTATGGTAGTTTTAGTAAAATAAAAGCCGTGAACTGTGTCCTCATTCCCTCAGTCACTGGATCTGACCCTGATGACTTCTGCTCTTCATCAAATGCAGAATGACCATAAAAGGTAAATATTTTGAATGGATTCAGGACATTGAGATAGCCAGGACTCTACCAGTGGTCCTTACCAGCATTCTCTGCTTTGTAGTGCTTCTTTTACGTATATTATGTCTCTATCCCATATTGTTCATGCAACTCATGTGAATTGTGGACTTCTTATTATCTTCTTTGATACCTACTACCAAATGCCATCAACTGAGTTTGTATGAAGGCCCAGCTGACATATGGCTGAGATAGTACAAGAGCAGAGAACCAAAACAACAAGAAGGCAATGATTTGGTTGGAGGCTATGATTCTATTTGACTTTGAAAAAACCCAAAAGCTGAGTTTTTCAGTGGCATCACAGATGAGAAGGCAGAGTGTCTAGAGTCTTCTCTTAGTATGATGTGTGCTGGCTAAGTTTGGAGTAGTAAAGTTCTTTGGAGTATTAAAGTTCTAATTATTCTTTTATGATCTCAGACTATGTGCACTGATTATTTGACAGTCACTGAGTACCTAATGCTGCATGTGGGGCACAGCAGATCTATTAAGAAGCCTCTGGACTGCATACCGAAAAAGTGCAAATGTTGCCTGCAATGCTTTTGCTAAAGATTGAGTAAACACAAAAGGCTGCTCAGCAGTAATTTCTAATGTGGCTTTCACCCAACCCAAGGCTTCTTCCCTAGATGAGTCCCATCTGTTACGGTTTGGAACTTATATGTCTTCTAAAGCCAAGAGAAAGAAGGCAGGTCACTGGCAGACTACCATGAAGGAGACACTATGGTCTACTCTGTCACCTCCCAGTTGCCATGAGGTGAGCAGCACCTCCACCATACGCTCCCACCACAGTGCACTGCCTGACCAACATCAACACACTAGATGACCATGCACCAAAACCTCCAAAATTTTTCCTCTTGCTGAGCTGTTTAACTGTGGGGTTTTGTTTCAGAGATAGGAAGATGACTAATACTCTCCCAACCTCCATGTTACTGGAGCTCTACAGAGCTCTACAGGAGAAAGAGCTCTACAGGAGAAGTGGATGCAATGGCCAGGTCAAGTTCATGCATACCATAAAGTTGACAAGCAGAAACCCCAGACTCTGGAATCCATACTCCTAGCTGTGTATCAAGGGTACACACATATTCAGCCTACTTGATCAATTTCGCAAGGAAATCTGCTATCTGATATTGTGGACATTAAGTGGCTTGGCTATTTTTCCTGGATGCTCCAGTTACACCACATCTTTCTCTGTCTCCCTTAGACTTCACTGGACTCACACAGCCTGTGAATGGGACTGCTTGACTCCCATCTGGCCAAGCTGGCTGTCCTAGGTGACTCTAGGGCTTGGTGGAAACCTGCTTCTCAGGCAGGACAGAGGTTGTACTCACAGGCTTGAGATCACAGTGAATGATTTTCTCTACATAAAGCATCTGCAAGCACTTCAAAACACAGAGGGTGAAGCGGCGAACTAGTGACAGACTGAAGCCTTGAAAGCTGTTATTCTTCATCAACTCGTACAAGTTGATTCTGGGAAAGACAGAGAAAAAGTGATGCATATTGGTATAAAAGATATGCTCAACATGGCCCTGCAAACAAACCTTTGCCATCTGGTTTCACTCTACTAGTATGTAAATCTCAGACCAGGAGGCAGGGCTATTGTATCTTATAAACTTCCTTCTCACTACCAGTGGGCCCAAGATAAAGTCCAACCACGCTGGCTTCTCAGATTGTTACAAGGCAACTTAAATACTTGGTTTACATATAGGTTAAGATATTTCAATAGTCCTATTTCTTTAGGTCTTTGGGAGGGATCCAGGAAGTCTACTGGTTGATCAAGCACATTCTCAGCCACCTCTATCAAGCCTGTCTAGGGAATTCTGGCTCCTGCTAAGTAACAGAACAAGGAAGTTGGCAGGTGGGAGCCAAGGCAAAGTAGGGAGAAGCTTCTCCTCCAAAGGGGTCTATGGTCGTTTGGTCCCACCTATCTCTGGCCTTACAGGATGAAGGCTGGCACTTGTCAGATAGCCTTAATTCTTCATAGTGGCGGAAGTCTGTAATATTATATAAAATAAAAGGATGCTCTATTATATCAAATCTGCTGGCTTACAGATCTTGGAAACTAATGCCTCCATAGAAACTGTATGAGACAGGGAAAGGAGGGCAGCAATCTCTGGCTGGTGACTCCTAACTTCCCTCTCTAGGATTGTCTAATGCTGGTAGGGTTTATTGTTTTGTTTATTTAACTTGTTTATTTATTTTGTTTTTTTGGTACAAGGTATCACTGTGCAGCTCAGGCCAATCTTGAACTCACTATGTAGCCTAGGGTGGCCTTGAACTCACAGCCAATCCTCCTGCCACAGCCTCCCGAGAGCTAGGATTATAGGCATGCACCACCATGTCTAGCTGCTGGAAGTTTTTAGAAAGCCATTTGTTCTAGAAGGCTGAAGCTGACATGTGAGACCTGGTTTTGGCTGTGTCCTGACCTGTGACCCTGGGCAACTGCTCAATTTTGCTGAACTTAAGATTCTCCCTCCATGTGCTTACCTCACCAAGTGTTTTTAAGTACAGTGATGTGCTCACAAGGCACTGTCATTCATGGCCCAAAAAGGCAACCTGGAATGTTGTGTCATGTAGACTAGAAAATAATTCACCCATGCATCCTGCAGAGAAGGCCACATTCTGTGATCACCAGAGGTGGTAATGAATGTGGCCCTCTCTTCCTATCCCAATTCAGCTCTGCAAACAGACACCTTGCACTTCCAGGGGCTCATCCTGATTATTCTCCTCTGATAAGATGAATGAATTCTGGGTTTCTGGTTTTCTTAGGGGAAAAAGTAATCAAACAAGCATGCCCTTCTGTATTAGAAGCCTTTTCAGCTGCAATCCACAGTCAGGAAATACCAATCTATTTAAGTCAGAATTTTTTCCTCTTATGAAAATATGTTTTGTCCTCCTTTACTCAAAATTAAAGTTTCTTTCCCACACTGAACAACCATCTGCCTGTCCCTTTGGGCTGCAGTCTCTGTTCCATAAGTCCAATAAGCCAGTGTGTGGGGAACATGGTAGCAAAGCAAAATCCTATCATGGCTTAGTTTAGCTCCTGATACTCAGCCCCAAGGAGACACAGTGTGAGTTTGCTGACAGGTGACAGGCTTCCTGAGGGGTGGGGTGAGGTGGCAGCTTTTGGTCCCAGACTTCCTGCTTCTGGTACTTCTTAATAACTGAGTAGCTGCTATGCCCACTCTAATCATTAAATTACATAAACAGAAGGCTAGTATTTGGCTTCAGAGTTTCTCTTCTGTTGTTTGAGCAACTTTCAAATACAGTGAATTAAAAAGTACAAGCAGCTGACCCCAAGAGCTCAAAGGTGATGCAGAGGTGATTGCGGAAGTAGAAAAAGTCCTTCATGTGTACCACATTGTAAGTATTGTCTTTGTCCTTCTTTCTGAGAGCTTCCAGGATCTTCAACTCCACCAGGGCCTGGTGATGAAATCTGCAATGACGGGGGAATGGCAGAGAGGGTGGGTAATGGGGACAACATCATTCTGTGGCAGTTAGCCTGTTTCCTCATTCTGTCCCACAACCCCAACAAGAACGTCTAGGGTGACAGAAGGCATTAAAACTCCATGATCGTCCTTCCTCTTTGCCCTTTCATACAATAAAGCAGATAGAGGGAGAAGGAGGAAAAGAGGGGAAAAGGAAGAGTCAGAGAGGGCTGGCATTCTAAAGTAACTAAAGCATGGCACTCCCTCTAACACAGCCTGTGTCACCCATCGAGCCAAACCTTTTTTTGTTCCTGATGATTTTCAGGGCCACCAACTCATTGTTTTTGTGATCCAAGCACTTGGCCACCTGTCCAAAGGACCCTTTCCCAATCATCTCCAGAACTTCATAGCGGTAGGCAATGTGGTCATGCAGGACCTGCAGAGGCCAGGCTGGTGGTGAGAAGAATAGCCTAAGCCTCTTGGGTTTCTCTCACCTCGGGACCCTGGATCCCCAGGCTCAGCTCCTGGGTTATTATTCCTAGTTTTCTGAACTCCCACCCTCATCTCATGGCCTCTGCAATAGTTAGGTTACTGTCTAGGCCCCAGGCCACTAGGTGGCACCAGGGAATGGTCTTGCAGACTCAATCCATGTCAAGCAATTGTAAGAACATCAGATAGTCCTTGGACATTTGAGTTCTAGTGCTTGTCAGCTGAGTATTTTAGGACTTGTGAATAAGAAAGTTGGACAAAACTGAATGTTCCTTCCATTCTGGAAATTCTGCGATTCTTCGAATTGAGTCCCTGCTCTCGTTTGGGGGACATTTTCTCTCTGGTCCTGCCTTGATCAGAGGCTTTGTGCCTGCTCTGTTTCTTCTGGCCAGATCTGGTGCTTTCCTGGACTTATCTAGATTTATCCCTATTCTTGCATTAATATCACAGCACTTGGTAAAGTGTAATGTTTTCCAAAAGCCACAATCCTCCATGTTTTTCCATGTGCTAGAAACTAGGGGGCAAGTACTCAGACAAAGGCACAGGAAATTTCCCATTAAAGATCATGGCTAGGTAGCTTCAGACAAGCCATTTACCCCCCTTGAGCTGTAGTGTCTTTTTCTGTAAAAATGAGACGAGGTTTTGGATAAGACAACCTCTAATATCCTCAAGCTCTGTAAGTCTATGATTTCTAGTGTTACACTCAGGAGTTTGGGAGAGGCAAAGAATGAATGTCTGTATACAAGTCTCCAAGATGTGTTGTTTGCGAATGTGAGTGCAAAGGTGTTGGGGTCTTTTCACAGAGTAGGAATCAGGACCTTAATCTGAGCATGAACTTACTGTTATATTGAAATGGGTTAGTCTACTTGTAAATGAAAAGAATAGGACACAATCTGAACATATGTTAGTGTAAAGGCACATGAATGTTTTCCTAGCATTTGAACTTATCTTCTTCATACTACCAGCCATTATTTGCTTAAATGTCATCTTTCATGCTAATTGTGATCACTTGAGAGCCATGGCCACATTGTACTTATTTATGACCATTTCCCTTATATTTTCAGAGCCTATCAGATGCCTAACCATATGCAGGTGCTCAATCAGTAGGTATAAAACTAACATTTGTTGACAAAATAAATGAATGTAGCAAAAAAAATGCAGCTAAGTTTTCACTTATGTGTATTATATATTTGTGTGTTCAGTGGAATGAAACAGGATGAAGATTTGGACAGTGTCGAGAACACACTTCTCCCTATCTTCCAGCCAAAAATACAGCTCTCTAGCATTTGAGACTTTGGGACTGAATGCCAGTGAATTCACTTAAGACTAGTACTGGCACCTTTAGGGAATTTCCCAGACTCTAAGCTTTGATAGGGCGGAGCATAAGGAGGAGCACGGAGGGAAGGTGGGAATGTCTGGTTGAATTGAAGGTAAGGCTTATATTGAATATTATTAACCAAGGGCCCACCGGTTCATGTGTGTTCGGGTTGCCTTTTCTGAAGTGAAGGCCCATAGCTGCTATTAGATTCCCAAATAGATCTTTAACCTAAAATTGCTGAGAATCCAGGACTCCAGCTGGAATCTGTATAACAAAAATTTCATCCTTGCTTCTCAAAGTGACTAATGTCTAGAAGCTTGTTAGAAATGCAAGCCCTCGGGTCCCACCCCAGTTCTGCTGCATTTTATTAATCTCCATGCATTTGTGTGTATGGCAATGCTGGAGAAACTTAGCCTTACATGCTATTAAGAAAATTTACCTCTGCTATGAAGCCATCTCATCTTCTCTCCTAGAACCAGGTTGTGATGAAATGGCCACAATAAGAGACACCCTGGTAACCCAATAGGTTGAATTAGAAGACGAGAGAAAGGAGGTGTTGGGATCAAGTTTTGGAAAGTGGAATGAAGTTAAGTCCTATGCACTAGGAACTATAGTGACAAAGAGCCCTATTTTTTGTGTGAGAAACAACAGTATGAGATTTAAATGCATCCACGTACTGGATTGTACAGAGGAAACAAGAAAGATAGTGCCAGGGAGGCTGCATCTTTCTGCAGCCTGGCCTTTTCCAGGGTCCCAGGGCTGTGCAGAAGAGCCTATGAGTGCTCACCAGGATGCGAATTTATGACCTGAAATATCACTGGGGAAAATCACTGTTCTTTAGCAAAGCATTTTGCATACTAAATGGCATGTTCTTCCATCTTTTAAACATGGTTCTTTAGTTTAGCGCCTACTAAAATCTAGATGCCTAGTCCCCAAAATAACACAAAATGCTGTAAAATATCCCCTGCCTTTTTCCTTCCCAGTCTATCGTTTGCCCAAGCCCCTGAATTCACCATGACCCAATCTCTCATCACCTTCATGTAGGAGCCATGTTCATCGTCAAAACTTGTCTTGCTGAATTTCTGAGGGTCCACATTCAGCTTCTCAGCTTCAAGCCCCAGAAACCACAGCTCTGTGTAGCCCAGGATTTCACTTTGCTCATAAAGAGACAGCCTATTCTTATAACACCTTAGGGCCTCTGTGGGGAAATGCAATTGTCAGTTAAATTGAAGCAATGCGTGAACTCCCAGAGCGCTGATATGACATTGTTTCCAGCACATGCAACTTCCCTTGACTGGGGGTGGTGGGGGGATCACTGAAGGATCACACATTGGGAATCTCGGCAGGTAGAAATGCAACAAGGATAAATGTCAAGGTCTCACACTCCTTTCAACAAGTCAAAAGTAAAACACAAACATAGGGAAAGAATTTAGTGCCCAAAAATAGTCATTAAAAGGGTTCTATAAGAAATTCATTTAATGCCCCAAAAGTAGGCAATGAGTTTGATTAGAAATCCAGGAATAATTCACAGCAATCTTTTGTTAAGTTTCCATTTGCCGAATTCATATGGAATCAGAAGTCTACCTTGAGAGGTCTGAAAACGGTAAATTTTTCTTTGGTCTTTTTGAGGATCTCATATGCTGTTCTTTTTGAGGGTCTCACTATGCTGTTTAGGGTCGCCTTGAGCTCACTTTGTAGCCCAGGCTGGCCTCAAACTTGCAATGATCCTCCTGCCTCAGCCTCCAGAAAGCTGCGATTACAGGCATGCACCACTGCATGCCTTAATGTCCAGGAAAAGGCATGCTTACACCTTTGAAGGCCCAGTTATTCACAGTCAAATGTGAGCCAGAGAGCACCATAGACCACAAGGGGAATGTGTGCCAGCACCCCCATGCTTCATGAGCCTGGTCAGTGGTCTGGTGTTAGGGTAGGGGTTATGAGTGGGAGCTGAATTTCAGACTTTCATAGATAAACTGGAGAATTCTCAGAGGAGAGACACCAGGTTTGGAGAAGGAGCTCCATCTCATGTGACCAACTGCTGAGGAGCTGGAGAATGAACTATGAGGAGAAAAAAAAAGATATAGGTCACAGGATCTTTCTTTTCCTCTAGTGGCAGCCAGTTATGTAGAAGATAAATAAGGCATGTTCCTTGTCTAGGGGACAAAACCAAGGTCAAGAACAATGAGGCAGTAGATATCACCTCTGCAAAAGCAATAAGCTCAGAACTGAAATGATCCTCCCATGGGTCAGTCTTGAGATCCTTTAAGAAGAAGAAGGACAAGCAATTTGAACTACAACACTGTGGCAGAAGATCTGTGAGCCCTGAACAAGGTTGGGACATAGTGGGTGTTCCAGTGACTTCAATTTTCTGCCTTTGGGTCTGGCTCATGTCAGAAAACATACCCATGTCCTGTGCCTGATCTTTCAGGGCCCATCATGGATGATTACAATGGCTCTGCCTGGCAGCTCTAATGGTGGGAGGCTGGGGCAGTTGATCCCACACCAAACTTGGTCAAAGCCAGCACACTGCAGTCTTGGACCAAGCTCCTCCGTGTACATCCAGACATCCAGCCCAGGGACCCCTTGCTCAGAGCACTCTGCTGGGATCTTGGTTAAGGTCTTCCTCAAACACCTCTGCCAAGGTCCCCCAACCAAGAGAGAGAATTCCTAAACATTTCACACTCTGTATTCAGTAGTATTCCTGCTCACTGAGTTTCCTCCTCTCACTGTTCCCTATACTTGAGACAATAAAGTGACAGGAGCCTTTTGTCTGGATTCTGCAGGTGGTGAGACAGTGCCTTTTGTCCGCACCCTCACCCAGTGTGGTTCTGGGGGGAAAGTGGAGCTTGGGTTTACTCCTACTTCGCCTCTTGTTCATACAGTCACAGTAAGAGGATACAGGGCTGGCCTCCTTCATTTGGGCTTATCATCCTGGCTCCTCATATCCTGACATCAGCATACACATCCTCCCCCATTCCTCCACTGCCAGTGCCCCAAGTCATACCTGCCACTGTCAAAGGCCTCCTTGAAGATTTGCTCTTCCTTGGAGACTTCTCCTCAGGCTTGGAGGCTTCAGTTTTAATGCTAGAGTGGAAAGGTATTTCTGAGGTCTTGTTCTCAGAGGCCAGCATCTGATTAGTGTCCTGATTTTCCTATCCAGAGAAAAACGTTTGCAATAAAGGACTAGTTAGGCTTCTCCTGGAGTCATAAACCATTTACCTGACCCAGAACACCCATATCTAGCCAGGATCTTTCCCAACTTCTCCAGGGAGAAAACAGTACTTAAGAGACAATCGGTTTTCTCAAGCTTTCAAAATAATTATCTGTCTGACTCTCATAATATGCTCTGGGAGATTCATGTATGATAGTGCATACAAGTGGCAACCCAGTGGATGTCACTGCAAGAAGACAGGAGAACAATTTTTACTGTTGCTTCTGAGCAGATCAATTGCCAACTAGATAAAGTAATTTGCCCGAGGGCAAACTTGAGCTTACGTGTGTGTGTACAATTCCTGTAACTTGTTACTCCCCCTCATATTATCTCACTTAATCCTTCCATGGCAAAGGTAGAAGACATGCAAGGAAAACAATATTTTATAAGTCTACCATGTATATACCAGAGCTTCATTTTCCCCTTTCCTCAACGAATCTTCTTCACAACTTCACAAAGAACCCATTTTGTAGACAAAAGAAAGTTCAATGGCATATTACTCATGTTTGCATGTATTGTAAAGAGTGATCTCAAGGCTTGAACCCAACTGTCCAACAGACACTGTGCTTTCCCTTGCCTTCCGTGGCCCTTCTAGAGTTGGTGCTACCCTGTACCCAGGTCTTTCATTCACCCAGGGTCACGTCTGCCCCATCCTCACCTGATCCTGCAAGGGTGGTTTCATCAAGTTTTTGTTGCTGATGTGTGGGAAATTAGTTGAGTTCTTCTTCCCACTGGTATCCACACACAGGCGTGAAGTAATGTTAGTGCTTATTATCTAGAAGCAGAAAGTGGATACTTTACAAAACCTTCTGGCAAGAAAATGTCTTCAGGAGTCATTTCTTCCAGCCTCCTTCCCCACAAGGATGAGCCTAACACAAGTGCTTAGACAGAAATGCAGATTTGAGGGAGCAGAGCAATCTAGCACTTAGGCTCTGGTTTGAATTTGTAGTTCACAGTGTTATTAGCTGTAGACTGAACAGATAACACTGGCTCTTTCTCTAAGCCTCAATATTACGTTGCTATCATGGAAACAAAAATGGAACTTACCTCCCAGCAGTTTTGTGAGGCAATAGGTGTAGATCATGATATAAATGGTAGCCACTATGGACTTTATTCCAGTATCTTGGAATCTAGACATAGGGAAGTTCTTCAGTGGAAATATTAAATGCTGTATGAAGTCTTGTTTCCTCTATGGCTACTTAACAGACTTGCTTTTCCGTATTTGAATCTCTGCTTGCTGTGCTGATTGGTTGATTGATTGGAAAAGTCTGACTATCAATAAATAATAATACTTAAAATTGTATAGAGTTAAAATGGCCATACTTCCAAAACTTTTATGCATATTTAATGCAATTCCAATCAAAATACCAATAGCATTCCTTATAGAACTAAAGAAAGAAATCCTAAAATTCAGGCAGAACCAGAAGAGACCTAGAATAGGAAAAGTAATTCTGAGTACCAAGAATAAGGCAGAGGACATCACAATTCTAGACTTCAAGTTATACCACAAGCCAGCGACCTTCTCTCGGCTGGGAGAGCACCAGTACTACTGCCACCGCCTGGAGGAGGGAGCAGCCCTGCGGAGGAGGTTTGAGGCCTACCGAGGCCATAGGGGTGACCTTCTTTCAGCCCAGGGAGCTTTTCCACCCAAGGAGGTGGACGGTTGCACAACATCCGATCCCCAGGAGAATTTGAGATCCTTCCTGTAGGTGGTTGGGGGTCTGCTTGGATTGTGGCCACACTGGATTGGGTTTAGCAGGATTCAGGCCTGCCCGGACCACTCCTCGTGGCCTTCTTTCCATCCAGGGAGCTTTGCTGCCCAAGAGGGGAGCTGTGCAGCTTGAGGAGGATTTAGGCCTACTGAGACGAGCCTGGCAACCTTCCTTTAATCCAGGGGCCTCGCTGCCCAAGGAGGAAGCTATGCTACCAGAGTAGTCCCAGGAGCCAAGGACATCAGAGAAAATTTCCAACACACCCAGGGGAAGCTTTGGAACAACACTTGAAACACGGAAATATAGAAAAATGACAAAATGCAATCTCGAACATCCAGCCCATCCCAAGAAAGCCTAGGAGCCATATACATAGAAGAAAATACATGCCATATGCCTGAAATATCTGAAATAATAGTAACTGAAATAAAGAAGCAACTCCAGGAAGCTTTAAAGAAATTCAAATGAGAAATAACCTTCCAGGTAAAAGAAGAAATGATAAAAGTAATGACAGAGATGCTGAACACATCTAAAGAAGACACAGTTAAAAAATCAGAGGAACAAAACAAAAAGAGTGTCCCTGGATGAACAATATAAGAAACAAACAGAATACATAAAGCAGATTCAAAGAGATATAAGGAAATCAAAAATTACATTGAAAGTTGTCAAAACCGCCTCAACGAAAGTGAAGATAGAATTTCAGATCTCAAAGACAAGATTGCAGCTAGTGAACAGGAAAGGAAAGATCTCTTAAAAATAACAAGCAATCAGGAAATAACAATCCAACAGCTGCAACATGACTCAAAGAAAAACAACATAAGCTTGATAGAGATAAATGAAAAAGAAGGGGACAACAACAAATGATATCAAGAGATTATTTATGGAAGTAATAGCTGAAAATTTCCCAAACATGAGAATGGAAACTGACATTAGGATTAGTGAAGCATATAGCACTCCAAATAGCCATAACCAAAACAAAACTACATCCAGACAAATGATAATCACCATCCCAGAAATCCAACATAAAATAGAATATTACAAGCTGTCAGAGAGAAGATTCAGATCACCTATAAAGGAAAGCCTATCAGAATCACAGCAGACTTCTCAACACAATGAAGTCAAGAAGAGCATGGAGTGAAGTATTTCAGATCCTAAAGGAAAATGACTTCCAACCTAGACTGATGTACCCAGAAAAACTTTCCTTCAAAATGGATGGAGAAATAAGATACTTCCATGACAAAGAACAGCTGAAGAACTTCATGACCACCAAGTCAACCTTGCAAAGAATACTGAAAGACACTGTAGATGCACATAGGAAAAAAACAATAAACAAGACAGACAGCTAAACAGTATGGAAAGATAAAGATGCAACAGAAAAAAGATAACATGTCAACAATAAACCAATATATAACAGTTACAAGCATTAATGTAAATGGTCTCAATTCACCAATAAAAAGAAACAGACTGGCAGAATGGATCAAGAAACAATATCCAACCATATGCTGTAAACCCCTCTAACCCAAAAGGAAACTCATAGAGTAAAAGTCAAAGGATGGAAAACAATACTATATGCAACAAGAACCGCCCCCCCCCAAAGTGGGGATAGCTATCCTGTTTGCAGATAATGTGAACTCCAAACCAAGAATGATCATAAGAGATAAAGAAGGTCATTACATACTAATTAGGGGAAAACGTCAAGAGGAAGAGATAACAATCTTAAATATATATGCACCAAATTCCAGAGCACCCAGTTATACAAAGCAAGTATTAATAGAAATGAAAAATCATTTTAACAATAACACAATTATAACAGGAGACTTCAACACACAACTGACACCAAGGGACAGATCAACCAGACAGAAAATCAAACTCTTCAATAAATAACAGAACTGAATCACACTTGTGAACAAATGGACTTGATAGACATATACAGAGTATTCCATCCAACAACAACAGAATATACATTCTTCTCAGTGGTACATGGGACATTCTCTAAAAAAGACCACATACTAACCCACAGAACATATTTAAATAAATGCAAAAGAGTTGGAATCATCCCATGCATGTTATCAGATCATAGCACATGAAACTAGAAATTAATGATAAAAGAAACTGCAAAAACCCCACAAACACATGGAAATTGAATAACACACTCTTGAGCAATCAGTGGGTTACAGGGGAAATTAAAGAAGAAATTAAACAGTACCTACAAGCAAATGAAAATACAAATACAACTTACCGGAATCTGTGGGATGCAATGAAAGCAGTCCTCAGAGGAAAAGTTATTGCACTGAGTTACCACATCAGGAAAACAGAACAAACACAAATAAACAACCTGATGCTACACCTCAAACATCTAGAAAAAGGAGAGCAAGTCAAGTCCAAAGTCAAAATAAGCGAGGAAATTATAAAAATCAGAGCAGAAATTAATGCAATAGAGACTAAAAACAATCCAAAGGATCAATAAATCAAAGAGTTGGTTCTTTGAAAGAATAAATAAAATCGATAAGCCCCTTAGCCAACCTAATTTTAAAAAGGAAAGAAAAAGTTCAAATTTATTCAATAAGGAATGAAAAAGGTGAAATCACTATAGACCCTGTGGAAATACAGAAGATCAACAACACCTATTTCAAAAATCTCTAGTCTCATAGGTTCGAAAACACAGAAGAAATGGACAGAGTCCTAGAAATATATGAAGTACCAAAGCTGGGTCAAGAAGATGCAAAACTGCTGAATAACCCAATTTCTATCAATGAAATTAAAAATGTAATTAAATCCTTACCTACAAAGAAGATCCCAGGCCCAGACAGATTCACTGTGGAATTTTACAAGAAATACAAAGAAGATTTAATGCCAACACTCCTCAAACTCTTCAATGAAATCAAAAGGGAAGCAATTCTTCCTAAGTCATTCCTTGGAAGCAAATATAACTCTAGCACCAAAACCTGAGAAAGACGCAACTAGAAAAGAGAACTACAGGCCAATCTCCCTAATGAACACAGATGCAAAAATCCTCAATACATTATCGGAAAATAGAATGCAGCAAATCATCAAGAAGATTATACACCACAACCAAGTGGGATTCACTTCAGGCATGCAAGGATGTTCAACATACATAAATGTAACCCATAATATCAATAAAGCCAAATCATTTCTATAGATGCAGAAAAAAGCTTTTGATAAGGTCCAACACTCATTCATGCTAAGAACCTTACAGAAAATTGGA